CTAAAGCTCACTTAATGACTTATAGTATGGTCTGTATTTGGGGGAAGTTTCCGTGAACTGCTGAGAAAAAAGTGAATTCAGTTTGGTCTATTGTAGGATGAAATATTCTATAGATGTCTCTTAGATCCATTTGATTTATAGTGTGATTTAGATCAGACTGTATTTATTGGTTTTATTTGTGGATGACAATTCCCTCAGTATTATTGTATGAAGGTCTGAGATCTAATGTCCAGAGGTATGTGTTTTATGTAATTAGGTGCACTGACATTTAGTGAAAAGTAGTTTCTGTTGCTGTATCTTCTTGTGAATTATTCCTTTTACCAGTGTATAGTAACCTTCCTTGTCTCCTATGATTAATTTTTGTTTGAAATCTGCTTTGTCAGGCATGAGAATAGCTATTCCTGCTTCTTTTTGGACTCCATTTGCACACACTTTTTCCATCTTTTTACTTTCAGTCTGTGGCTGTCTTTGCCTATGATATGGGTCTCTTGCAAACAGCTGGTTTTCCTAAATGATGCCCGGTACATATGGGTTTCCAAGAAACAGGTTCTTCAGAACATCCAGAAGACATGAGTCTAATGTGCTCCGCTTTTTAATTAATGGATTAACAAAGAATATGGCTCTTAGTGACTCTGAATAGTTGAAAAGCCATTTTACTCTTAGCCTTCATTTTCCTTTCTAACAAGAGGATTGAACTGTGTGTAATGGGTGAGTTTTCTTTGTGTCTGTTCTGTGGAACTGATGTTTTTTCATTGGAGATTTTTTTCATATATTAAAAAAATTTTTTTTTTAGTTGTTGATAGACCTTTATTTTATTTATTTGTTTTTTTTTCTGGTGCTGAAGATGGAACCTAGTGCCTCACTCATGCTAGACATGCACTCTACCTCTGAGCCACAACCCCACCCCTTTTTTTTTTTTTTTTTTTGTATTTTTTAAAAATAAGTTTTCTATGGCAGAATATCATCACTGGTTGGTCAGTCTGCTCCGGCCATCTCCCTTTTCCCATGTGTGAGGCCTGCACAGGTGCTACTTCCATTCTTGGGGTGGTCCTCATACACATCTCCTTTGCCACTTATTCCTGTCATGAGGTAAGAAGCCTGAGGCCCACGGGGCAGTGTCTTATTACAGGTTAGGACATGCAGATGGCAGAGCTGACCTTCCAGGGCCTTCAGCCTCATAGACTGCTCCTAGCAGGACCTTCCGCCTCCTTCCACAGTCTGCTGCTTTGTGACATGTCCTCTCCTGTCCTCCAGACGAGAGAAGACAGGAGCTTTCAGAAAGCACTTCTGTGTTCTACTTGGAGTATTCCAGTTCTTTTAAACCTTGGTTTCTGGGTGGTTTGGTATTGTTGTATTTCATTATGCAATACTGTTTCTACTAAACATAAAATGTTCAAAATAAAATGCAAACAATACATTTAATATTGTGAACTTTTTAGTGGAAAATTGGTAGAATAATTTTATTTTGGAAATATTGGATTATTTTATGGCACGTTTAATTTACTCAAATGTAAAGTAAGAATGAGTTTTTGTTATACCCCAACTGGGTAGATTGTAGCTGGTACTAGATATTTGGTGCTTCCTTCTGTGTGTCCCTGTGGTGCCTGTGCTGAGGGAGGAGGAGGGTAGTGTTCATCCTGGCTTTGTGAGCCTGCCACTTTGCAGGACTCCTGATGACTTTTCTTGTCTCCCCAGGGGAAGTGCTTCTCACCCCTGGCCACGCATCAGAGTCACTTGGAATCTATTAAAATTCTGATTTCTGGGTCCCTCCCTCCCTCAGATTCTACTTGCATTGTTCTGGGAGGTCATTCAGACATCTTGCTCTCCCTAGTCCCCTGGGAGATCCTCCTGTGCAGCTTGTACTATGTCCACTTCCCCAGATGCCACCAAAGAAAGGCTAGTGACAGTGGAATGGGGCTCTTGTTTCCTCCCGTATTTGTACCTTCCCTTTCCAGTAGCGGACTCTGCTGTTTTTCAGAGCCTCCAGCAGTTAGGGTGGGAGGGAGGCCTGTAGGGTCGAGACTACACATTTATCTTGTCTTAGACGCTGAATGGCCTCAGAATAATTCTCTGTGTTCTATGTGTAGTGATTGTAATTCTCATGCATACACTGATTTAGTTTTTTGTAGAGGCATTTCTGTAAAAGTTCTAGTGAGACTTTCCTCTTGCCCCCCTCCTACAAGTTTCTCTGTTTTGAGATTTGTCTGTTTTGCTTTTTGTTGAGCATATTCCTCTTCCAGGGAATGTTCTGTAGAGTCTTCCTAGCGACTTATTGGCTTAGGATGTGTTCTCAGTGGTGCTTGTCTCATCCCTTTGTCTTGGCTTCCTGTTGAGTGTGGAGAGTGTTCATGGAGTGGTGACGTCATGCTTGAAGCCCATTGGTGGCTTTGGCCAGTCAGGCGCTTCCTGGTGTCCCAGTGGGAAAGATGCATAGTCTGGCAATAACAGGAAACTTCACATTTCTACATCCTGTTGTTGTGAGTTTGTGACTTGCTGCCCTGCCATGATGAAGGTTAGTGGACATTTCTATATGTGTTTCTTCTGGTGGAGTACCACAGCTTAAATTTTCCAGGCTCTGGAATTAAACTGTGGAACGGAAGGAATTCACTTTATAGTTAAGGGAATTCATTTTATAGTTAAAGGAACTGTTTTGTATATAAATGAAGCTGAGGCCTGTTAAGGTTATTGCTTAAGAAGGTGCAACTTAACCCATATTTAGCCCTTGAACAGCTTTAGGTAGAGCTCTCCCTGGTGTTGGACTGCTTCTTGATCATGGATAGCACATGGATTGACTCTGTGTTATAGATGGCTCTGAAGGGGCTGTTCTAAGGAGGACCCTGGCTTCATGAGACCCACATCAGCGATGGGATGCCTAGCTGTGCTTACAGCTGGCTTGGTAGGGTTTATAGGTCCATCTGATTTCTTCTCATGAGCTTCAGACAGCGAGCTATGCTTTTAGTCCTTTCTGATTGTCTTGGTGACTTGGCCTCTGTTCCGAGGCCAAATTTGTCTCCCGAGTTTTCCATCTTCTCAGTTTTCTCTTGTTATTTGTGTTTGAATAAACATACCTCATAACTATTTTTTATTCACTTCAAAAATTGTGGACAGAAGACTATCAACTGGAGGTGATTTTTGTGTAAGAGAGCAGTTTACAATCAGGTTTGGAATTGCACTTCTTGGTGTCTCTTGATACGCACTTCACTCACAGTGATATTGAGTACCCAGTGGGTGGTGGATGGACTGGAGTATGTATCTATCAGCACACATCCAACACACTAGGTGTTGGGAGGTGTGCATTTAGCTCCTGTAGATCTTACACTCCATGGTAGAAACTGATTGAAACTATTCCTGTGACACATGTTCTGGGGGAGCCTATTGGGGGCTCAACAAGGCTGTCCAGGCAGGGCTGATCCTTCAGGAAGTAAGATGAGTAAGACTTAGTCGGGAAGGATGTGGGTGGGGGACAGGAAGTAGGGGAGCAGAAGGGAGTTCCTGACATATCTCTTAGTGTCCTCCAGAGGAAGAAGCTGAACCCAGGGGGAGGGCAGAGGTGCTAGGTGGACCAGCCACTGATGCTTATTCTGGTCAGTGGTTAACATAACATTCAAATTATGTTAACATGACATTCATTTTGTTTTCTAAATATACTTTTGTTATTGGCACCGTGTGTGTGTGTGTGTGTGTGTGTGTGTGTGTGTGTGTGTATTTTGTACCAGGGATTGAACTCAGGGGCACTCAGCTACTGAACCACATCCCCGACTCCACATCCCACCCCCCTTTTTGGATATTTTATTTAGAGACAGGGTCTCACTGAGTTGGCTTAGCACTTTGCTGTTTTTGAGGCTGGCTTTGAACTATGATCCTCTTGCCTCAGCCTCCAGAGCTGCTGGGATTCAGGTGCATGCTACCACGCCTGGCTTGAAAGATATTTTTTCTTTCATAATTTTTCTAGGACAGAGTAGTGGATGATTTGACTGTTAAAATTGTTTTTGTATAAGGTTGGTTGGTGATCAAAAGTGACAGGTAGTTCTCAGACCGTATTTGCAAAGAGCTATGTGTTTTAGTACATCTGTGCATGCACACACACACTTACACACACAACCCTCACAGACTCTGTACCCAGCTGTCTATATCCAGGCCATCTCTTGTGTGCTCTTTGAGCTCCAGGTGATTGGTGTGCACCCTTGTGCATGTGCACTTTCTGTCTCTCACGCACGTGCACACACACACACTCCAATTGTCTATATCATGTCTTGTACTTTCTCTCTCCCAGCTCCAACTGGATGGTGTTAACACATGTGTGCTTTCTCTCTCTCTGTCTGTCTCTCTCTCTCTCTCACACACACACACACACTGCAGACTCCAGCTGTCTGCATCCAGGTGAGCTCATGCGCTTTCTGTGGCAGCTCCACGTGTGTGGTATGAAGTGCTTGTCTATGGGATGTGACTGTCTCCTCAGGGTCCCAGGTCTCTAGACAGCTCTGGATTGGAGGAGGTGCCAGATGGTCCTGATCCTGGCCAAGTCTCTGCCCAATGAGTCCCTCCCTTGTCCCTTCTGTGTGACCTGATCCCTTTCCTTATACTTTCACATCCATTGTGCTCGCTCACGTCTGTATTTTCCTTTTGTACCTGTTAGTTTTGGAATCAGCTGTATCTTGCCTTCTTTTTATGCTGGGAAAAAACATCGGGGGTGTGCCTTATCCACTGGCCTCTGCATACTCCAGGGGGAGAGGGCTGCAAGCTACCAGTGAGCCTTCACCAAGCACATGCAGCTGGGTGGCCCCTGCCCTGGGTGGGTGCTCATGGATAGGCAGCTGGTCCTCATCCGAGGGCTTGAACTGTGCCCCATGCAGGAATTCTAGTCCTTTTCCTCTGGCCTGCTCTTGCATATTGTGCTTCCTCTTGGGATTTCAGGATAAGAATCCCACACCAGAACTTGTTGATGCTGCATTCAACATGAGATTCAGTACTAATTCTGCTTGTTTAATTTTTCCTTTCAGACATTTGATGCAAATGATTTGTATCAGGGGCAGAATTTTAACAAGGTCCTCAGTTCCTTAGTGACTCTAAATAAAGTAACAGCAGGTAAGACTCCTTTTTTATTACATTTGAGGGGGTGGGAATACTAAATGGAGAAAGGTTTTGGTTTTCTGTTAGTAAGGCAAAATGAGCATTACTGAATTTAAGAAATGAGCGCCTACTGCTTTGCTGCTATAATTCTGCTATCCTGAGCACTTGGGCTTCAGTTCCTGGTGCTACAAGTCCTCCTTTAGAGACTGGCCTCTGAGCCACTTCCCAGTGCATGTTTACTCTGAGTCCTGTCTGGAAGCCATTCTCTGCCTGAGCCTGAGACAAAGCAAGGCTCCTGTGTGCAGTGGAGGTGAGGCCTGACTGGCACAGAGCACTGCCCCAGAACAGGTTGCCCACAGGAATGTGATTGTGTCTTCAGGGCTTCACTCTGAGATTGAAAGTTGCATACCTCTAGGGCTGTGGAGATGGAACCATCTAAGAAACCATTCCAGGGAAGGAATCCTTAAGATTGTCTAATCACTTAATGATGTATTGCAAATGACTATTTGGTGTTTTCTATAGGTGGTTAAATAGACACCGAAGCAATCCTCTGTCCCTTTACGGTCAAAATTGTAGTTTTAATGTGAACAAATAGCAAGGAAGAAAATCAGTTACGTGAAATTCAGGGAGATGTAGCTCACACCAGGATTTAATACAAGAGACCTTGCATGAGATCTTGAGAGTGTGGCAGGTTCCTGTATCCACCCAGGCAAGTGTCCATCTACCAGCTGCTTGGACACGGTCACTAGTCATGTGAGATTGTTTTGGTTGGTGATGGGCTGCATGTGCAGCAGTGTGCAGCATGTGGCCTAAGTGTGCACAGGGCTATATCCTCTAGGTTGGTGCCAGCATACTGTGGTGTCTGCATGATGACAGGATCTCCCTCCTGATAGCACAGTCTTGAGAATGTTGCCCTGTCACTAAGGGACATGCAGCTGTGCGTGTCTGCCTTAGAATTGTGAATGATGACTTTATAATTAGTATAGGTCTCTGTGGCAGACAGGGATGGGGTGGGCCCCGGTAAATGAAATCTATAGGTGATCCTCAGCTGGACCCCAGTGAAAATATTGCTGTGGGTGCTCTCTCAGTGTTTGAGTTAGCAAAACAGAGTGTGGAGAGGTGCTGGGGAGCTGCAGGCCACGCTGGATCCTGTGCCTGTCAGCGGTCCAGGTTTGAGGCATTGAGATTTTTTTAGAGAAATGATGGATTTGTAAACAAACTGGGATCAGTGGCTCTTGGACACATGCCACTGTTTTTTCTACCCCCACCTCCTGCAGAAGTATTTCTTGTGTATTGATGTCCTTGGGTCTGCATTGGATGTAAAATATGTAGTGCTTTTCCTTATAAAGTCATATTTAGAAGTTAGGAGATAAATTTGGTACTTTTCAGCTTTTAGTTAATGTTAGTGACTATTTTGCAAGAGCTTTTAACTTTTCTGTTTGTTGGTTCCTTGCTCTTGGTTATTGTATTGAAGTCAGTGTGATGGAATTGACTGTCTTTTTAGTTCTCAACTTTAAACACTTGCCTCAATGCAGTATGGTCACAGCTGTTCCATTTTTGGGAAATTTCTGCCATCATCTTCCCTCTGTTTCTGTCACTTAAAGGATGTGTGTTCTTAAGGCATTTAGATGAGTTTTTGCCTTTCAGTTGGCCAGAAGAATTGATGATGGGGAAGGAGAGGAGTCAGGATGCCTTGGTTGCACTGAGAATTCTCTTGAAGGCCAGGATAGGTTAGCACTGTGTAGCTAGGGTGACAGACCCACGGGCGGGTTCCAGGAAAATATCCTCTGTGGCTGGGTTTGTGTTGGGGTGGTATTTAGGCTTTGTCTTCTCAAGTAGAAAGTACTTGAGAAGTACTCCTGTCCCTACATAGGATCTTACAAGTGCAGGCACATTTTAGGGGGAATGTCAATACAATGTCCCACACTTCTGAGTGTGGAGCCAGCAGCAGCATAAAGGTAGGACCTGGTGGGAAGGTCTGGCCCTGGATCTTCTGCAGTTCTGGCTGCCTTGAGCCATTTTGTCCATGAGAAGGTATGGACCCTGTGTTGCTCTAGCCCGAATGTGCCAAGAGAAGGTGCAACTCTGGGCTTTTCTGTGACAGTCTTCAGACTTTTAGCTGTTTCAGAACTTTATAAAGTACCATGTAAGCCAGTTCCAACAGATTTGCCTGAAAGATGGGCGGGCTCTGGGCGATTGTCAGTGTAGGGTGCTTTTGTGGACAGGGTAGGACAGGGTAAGGCATATACATCTTGAAAAGTGTTTTCCCTAGTAAATTCCTTACACCATCATTTTCCTTTTTTTCAAATCAAATCATTTCTAAGAAATGGTCTGCTGACATTGACTTGTTGGTTGGCCTGTTGTGGTGGGAATCCCGAGTGGGGAGGGCCGCATTAATTCCTGCTGGCTTTGGCTCTCAACAATGGGGTGAGGCAAGTGGAGCACGTGCAGCTTGCTCTTGAGGAGATAAGACTCAGAAGGGTCTCTGGCCAGAAAATGCACAAGGAAAAGAGTTCTTTGTGTTGCAAAATAATTCTTGTTGCTCTCTGCATGGGAAATAATCTTGGAGAAATAGCATATGTGCTGTGGTAAGTTTTGAGAGTGAGAACTGAGTTGTTTTCTGCTGGGGAGTTGTATTTGAGAAGCTTGTTTTTCAGGTGAAGAAATATATTAAAAACTTATAAAACGCTTCACAAACTTTTGAAAAGTTATACTAGAGAAATGCTGATGAGGAATCATCTTCAGATAGTTTCTGGAGAGGTAATTGGGGATGAATGCGAGTTATTTATGGGACAAAGAATCTGCTCTTTGTTTACTGCATAAATGGCCTGCTTTATTGTGGTATTCGGTGTGTCCCTCTGCTGGCCCAGTTTTAGAGCCAGCGTGTGGCATGGGAGCATGGTGTCAGGCGTTCTCAGCGCTTTTTCTCTGTGTGCATGACCTTTTCAGACATTGGACTAGGGAGCGACTCCGTATGTGCTCGGCCCTCTTCGCATCGGATCAAGTCTTTTGACTCCCTGGGATCCCAGTCTTCACACAGTCGGACTTCAAAATTGTTCCAGGGCCAGTACCGAAGTTTGGTAAGTTTGAGAGGTTTTGTTATTTAAATTCTCGTGTATTTGGGAATGTGGGAGTGTATGAATGTGTCTGGAAAGATGCTTGTGCTCCTGCTAACAGTGCTAAAGCAGCCCGGAGGTATTTGACCTTGCCTCCATTGCTCTTGCAGCCTGGTTTTGTATTTGTCCTTACCAGATCCTTCAGATATTATGCTGAATGAGTGCTTTCAGAAAACTTGTTTCCTGGGGTTATATTAAGATTGATAATTCTGCTTGTATAGAGAAGCATGTACTTTTAACATATTTCCCTGACACAGTGCTTTCTCAACTGCTATACACAGAAGCATGAGAAGAAATGTATGTGTGGAAGAACTTAGCCATACAAAGGAGAGACGGTTTTAACCAAAGAAGCCAAAGGTAGCCTTTTCCTCTTCCTGAAAGCCTGCCTTCAGAGCTTTCCATGGCTGCTCAGGACACAAGGAAAGGCACTTAGGTGGAGAGTCGTCTTGGGAAGGGAAGAAGAACCTGCTCATAAATGCTAAGGGCACAGGCTGTAACAGTGCCTGGAGATGACATAGGGGAAGGTAGAGCATGGGACTGAATGTGAGTCTGCAGGGAGGTCGCAGGTCTTACTGTCCTGGTCAGGTCCTGCTGTCTTTTGGGCCACCTGGGGCTGGCAGTTCTTGATTTGCTAATAGAGGCATGACCATTTTTTTCTCCTTGTATAAGGAGAATCTTACAATGGTAGTCATGAGAGCTCACATCTTCAGAGATTTTAGGGACCCCACTTTCTTTTTGCTGTAACACAGGAAATTATGAGGTTTTGCTAATAGTGGCGGTCAGGAAGTGAGAGTTCATTTGGACAGAGTTGTATTTTGTAGTTGGAAATAAATTTGAGTGTAGCTCAAGGAATAGGGTTAAAAATAAGATTCAGGAGAAATGTAGTTTTTACATTTTCGTAAGTGTTTTGAAGTGAACCTTACTCTTGTCCTTACATTTGCCCTTGGAGAAGCCTGTCCTAGGTTCTGCATCTGCAGGTAGTGACGCCTTATTGTGATCTGCCTATACCAGCTCAGTCCTTCATATTTTTGTGGCCTCTCTTCTGCAGCCCTCCTGGTCCTTATGTGGTCTAGTTTTTTTATAGGATGTGATGCAGGAGGAGTTTTGTAGCATTATCATTGTGAGCATTATGATTCCAAATTAAGGAGAAAACTTGAAACATTTTAAATTAGCTTTATAAAATATGTAAGGAAAATGTAAGAGAAAACATACTTTCAGTGAAAAAAAAAATACTTCAAACCATGGAAGTTTTCATTTTGGTTTTCCTTTTTTCTTACTGAATAAAGGAAGACTGGGAAATATGTATGATATTAAGTAAAGTATGTGGTTGAAGATGAATGTTACTGAGATCTTAATCATACAGGATTAACATTCCATTAGCTAGAGAAATTGGTAAGTTACACCAGGAGTGAAAGGGTTCTTTTTGTTGCTGCTGGTGTGCTGGCTTCTCCTGCATGGGACATGGCAGACCTCTCTTGCATGCTAGGTGAGAGCGACTCTTTGCCTTTAGATTTTTCTGAATATAGTTTGCTCATAGCACTGTGAGGTGACTTTTTTGAATCTAGAATCTAGAAATGAGGATGGCAGAGTGTTCATAGCTGAGTAATGAGTACATGGAAGGCCATTTATCATTCTCAACCTCTACCTATGCTTGAAAATTTCCATAAGAACTTAAGCTGAAATGCCCCTTGTAGTTGTGGAGCATCAGTTCTGGGATCTTGTGACAGAGCTCAGCCCTGCACTCACAGCAGGCACTCCCACCCAAGCTGGTCCACTTCTCAGGCACTGTTTACGCTCCTTTGCTCAAGCTAGCTTTGTTGACCCCCACATCCCTTCCAGTCTCCGAATGTTGCACCCGATTGCCGCCTCACCTGCTGGTTGTTTTCGTAACCTTGTTTTAAATCTGCGAAGCCGTGTCATCTTTCTGCTCCAGGACAGTTCCTGCCTGGGGTGCAGGCTGGCTAGGGCTGCTGCTGCTCATTTGGCTCTGCAGTGGGAGCTGGACCTCCTCACTCGCTGCCTCTTTCCTGTGGCTCCCTCAGCATGCCTTTCTCTGGGTGATTTCTTCCTGCCCATTTACATGCTCTCCGCTAAGCAGATCTCCTTGTCCAGCTCTGCTCTGCAGCTTGCCTGTCACCACAGAAGGAGAAACCTGGGAGAGATAATCAAGAGTGTAGTGGATCCAGGGCATAGATTTGGGTTTTTTTCCTCATCAGTTCTGACTTCCAACTTTCTTTTCTTAAGGACTTTTGTTGATGCTTCTGGAGTCACTGTCATGTCCTGCATCTGCATTGGCTGTTAATGAGCGTAGCCCCACGTTCCCTTCTTTATTCTCAGTTTGGGAACAGGGTTTATGTACTAGCTAAGCCTTTATCTGCTGTTAATGAGCACGGCTCCCAACTCCCAGTGTTGTTCTCTGAGATTGGGGACAGGGTTTTGTACAGTTTTGCTTTGCCTTCTTCTTTCTGGGAGAAGTGACTTGATCTCTTAAGGCATTTCCTCTTCTGTGGCCCCCAGCACTCCAGGAGCCAGGGACCCCAGGCCCCTTGGCCTTGTGATGCTGTTGAGAGACCTTGCTTGGGTACCGGTCTTCGAGTTCACAAAGTGTCCAAAGCATGCAAGAAATCACATCAAATTTTATTATATATGCTTTGTTAAATATTTTCAATTCCCTTGAGTAAACATGGGATATATCATGAATCATATTTTGTCAATTCTAAGACCTTTTTCTGTAAAACATTTTAGCATATCTGAAAGTAACATGTATCTTATAGTTTATGGTATTCTGTAATTTAATTGATAGTATTTAGTGTTTTATAATATAACAATGGGCATTGTCCAGTTTTTGGCAACTTATACTAGATGAAATACATTATTTATTTTTTTATTTTTTAATTTTATTTACATTAAGATTTTTTTTTTAATTTTTTATTGTGGGTTGTTCAAAACATTACAAATTTCTTGACATATCATATTCCACACTTTGATTCAAGTGGGTTGTGAACTCCCACCTTCACCCCATACACAGATTGCAGAATCACATCAGTTACACATCCATTGATTTACATATTGCCATACTAGTGTCTGTTGTGCTCCGCTGCCTTTCCCATCCTCCACCCTCCCCCCTCCCCACCTCTCCCCTCCCCTCCCCTCCTCTCTTTCACCCCCCTCCACTGTATAACCCTGAGGGTCTCCTTCCATTACCATGCAATTTCCCTTCTCTCTCCCTTTCCCTCCCACCTCTCATCCCTGTTAAATGTTAATCTTCTTCTCCTGCTCTTCATCCCTACTCTGATCTTAGTTACTCTCCTTATATCAAAGAAGACATTTGGCATTTGTTTTTTAGGGATTGGCTAGCTTCACTTAGCATAATCTGCTCTAATGCCATCCATTTCTCTGTAAATTCTATGATTTTGTCATTTTTTAATGCAGAGTAATACTCCATTGTGTATAAATGCCACATTTTTTTTATCCATTTGTCTATTGAAGGGCATCTAGGTTGGTTCCACAGTCTTGCTATTGTGAACTGTGCTGCTATGAACATCGATGTAGCAGTGTCCCTGTAGCATGCTCTTTTTAGGTCTTTAGGGAATAGACCAAGAAGGGGAATAGCTGGGTCAAATGGTGGCTCCATTCCCAGCTTTCCAAGAAATCTCCATACTGCTTTCCAAATTGGCTGCACCAATCTGCAGTCCCACCAGCAATGTACAAGAGTACCCTTTTCCCCACATCCTCGCCAGCACTTGTTGTTGTTTGACTTCATAATGGCTGCCAATCTTACTGGAGTGAGATGGTATCTTAGGGTGGTTTTGATTTGCATTTCTCTGACAGCTAGAGATGTTGAGCATTTTTTCATGTACTTGTTGATTGACTGTATGTCCTCCTCTGAGAAGTGTCTGTTCAGGTCCTTGGCCCATTTGTTGATTGGGTTGTTTGTTCTCTTATTGTCTAATTTTTTGAGTTCTTTGTATACTCTGGATATTAGGGCTCTATCTGAAGTGTGAGGAGTAAAGATTTGTTCCCAGGGTGTAGGCTCCCTATTTACCTCTCTTATTGTTTCTTTTGCTGAGAAAAAACTTTTTAGTTTGAGTAAGTCCCATTTGTTGATTCTAGTTATTAACTTTTGTGCAATGGGTGTCCTGAGGAAACTGAAACTTAGATAAGGTGGGTATTTACCCAGGATTGTAGAACTGGGACTAGAAACTGTGGAGTAGATATTGGGTTTTTGACTCCGTGACAAGCCTTTTTTCAATGAATGAGAGTCTGGGCACTCTGGGACGTGGAGGAGGATCTGGAGCTTTGAAGGCTGCAGGCTTTTCCGGGTTGGATACCTGCAGGACTGTGGGTAGAATACCACTTGCTGAAGAGGAATATGCCAGAAACTGGCAGATGAAACTCTGGCTGTAGGAGCCAGGAAGGTTGTGGAGAAGAGCCTGCCCAGTGGCTAGGTGACTGTTCTCAGGGGAGGTGTCCTATAGGCCCATGTGGGGACCCTTTTCCCCTTTGGGGAGGGAGTCTTCAGTCCCTTCCCATTGCTAATAGTTGTTGACTTGTAACATGCATTTTAAAAAGCTCATGTGTTGTGTGTACAGCAGGATGGATTTTCACACATCAAAGATTGCTAACTAAGCAGCATCCAGTAAGACCACAAGACTAGCCTCAGGATGCTTTCATTGTTTTTTTTACCCCCCAAGGGTATCTGCTGTTGTGATTTCTAACAGTACAGACGAGTGTCACCTGTTTTTATTTTATATAAATGCATTTTTTATTGAGAGAGTACTAGAATGTCACATTGAATCCAGGTGGATGACAAACCACTGTTTAGGAGATCTTTTTAAAAATGAGAAAGAAGAAAGCCCACAGTGATAAAATAGGGTTAAATTCATCATTCTAGCTTCCTGTAGCACTAGAGACAATGAAGGGAGCCTTTCACACTCCGCTGTTGTGATCCAGACTGCAGTTGGTGTTGTGTGGCGGGTAACTGGAGTATGTAGATGTCTTGGAACACCCTCCCTTTGGCTTGTCTGCTGCGTCTTGCCCTTTGGGCACTATTGTAAAAGGATGTGTTAAAGAAATCCACATCCCGTCACCATAAAGACGCCGAAGAAGGTGAGTTTGTTGAGCGGAAGTTGTCACACAGGTCCAAGTGGTCCTGTTCTTTGTGGCATGCCTTGTCTTTCTCTTGGATGCTGCCCTTTTCACAGCCTTTTCCTTTCTGATTGCTTCGTTTGTGAAGTACAGAAGTCCTTGGGTGTTTCCCTGGCACCCATCCGAGTTGAGAGTACTGTTTTCACCTTCCTGTCTATAGGGGGAATGTAGCTTACCTCCTGTGTAATTTCCTGATTTCTACTCACCTACTGTTGTACTGTGGAGCTGACCTCCATGGCCTGGCACCCAGCTGCAGCTACAGGAGGCTGGCAGTGGGCTTGTCCTGGGCACTGTGACCTTGGAGGACCCCTTATGGACCCCTAGGCTCCCTTGCGCTCCACAGTTCGTTCCTTACGTGAGCTCCTCACCAGAATCACTGTGTGAATGTTTATACAAGGCTGAGCTATAGAAAGGAGAAGGTGGTAGGGTTGTGGTAGACTGCTGGTGAGCATGAGGGTGGTTTGCAGAAGGAGACTCGCTATGGCATGGTGAGTTGGATGATGTTCCATCTCCCAAGAGCAAGTGCCACTGTGACTGCCACTTTATCTTGCTCATGCCATTGGTGGGTGGTGAGTTCTATGCTTGAGCAATGGCTGTCAGCTGGAGCCTGCGCTGCCACATGTTGAGGAAGAGACTCCTGTGTTAGATATTGAAGATATGTTAACTGTTATTTATTCAGGATTTTTAATTATTAGATACATACTTATAATTTATGATTAATGTTTAATTTGTACACACATTTAGATAGCTAAGTATTAAGCATTTGGGAATGACCAGCCAGCTACTCAGCTACTCTTTGTTAAGGATCTCCCTCGTGGTGGGGGTGTAGTCTCATGATGTTCACCTGCTCCTGGTTAGAGTAACTCTGAGACTTGCTGGAGACAGCCACTTGCAGTTTTACTAGAGGTTCTTTTAGGCTTTTGCCTATGTGTGTCAAAGGAAAATGCCCTTTTTGGAGGAAGGGGGTTAATTTGAAATGTTTTTTCAGTGTGGATGTCCATAGTAGAGAGTGGTGAGCTCTTTACACGCGGTCCCTTTACCTGCTCCCCAATGCTCTGTGGTCCCATTGTCTTTGTGGCCAAGCTCTATCCTGGCTTCAGTTAGTTCGGTGTTTAGAACATTAGGGTGGCCAAGCCAACAGTGTTCGTAGTGGAGCCATGTCGCAGCCATGCTTTCTGGAATGCGTAATTATCTTTCTTTCTTTTGTTTTCCCTGTCCTTTTTGCAGATGGTAGCCCTGATCTAAGAATCTATTTGTATGCATTCAAACCTGTTAGATTTCTTCTTGCTTATCTCCCTGAGGAACACTCCTGGTGTTATGCAGGCTGTCTCTGCATGGCAGTCTCTGATTCTGCTTGGTCCTCCTTGGAGGTGCTTCTGACCTATGTGGCTCTCCTCCACCACTTTCTCCATGTCTTCATTTTGCCCTTGCATTTCACCTGTCTTGGAGGAGCACATTTTCTCTAATTTGTTCCTGGAGCAAGGGCACATGGGATGTAAATGTGTTGAGGTCTTATAATCCGCAGATTGCTTTTTTTCCCTGACATTATGAATTTTATTGCCTTTTGTTTTCAGAGGTTTAATGCTAGGATGTGATTTGGTCTGAATGTTTGTGGATTTGTCCTGCTGTAACGGTGTGCCTTTGTCAATTCCAGGGCTTTTCCAGGTGTGTTCCTTGGCCACTTGGCAGCCCTTTTCATGCCATAGTCCCTGTGGTTCTGCTTATTCTTCAGCATGCTCTGTTTCTTTTCTTCTGAGTGAAGTTTGTAAATGCCATTCTTTTCTGAGGTTTTCTCTGTTTTTTTTTTTTTCTATTTCAAGACAGTTTGTAGGGGCTTTTTCAAAACTTTATGATGACTGCTGAACTTCTTCCATCCACTCCCATGTCTGCTGTTGCCTTGATATCATCTTGGGGGTCCTCTCTCCTGCTCGTCCGCTTGCTGTCTCTTGGGCATGGTCTCTACTCTACTGGACATCTGCTTGCTGTCTTCTGGACATGATGTCAGGCATGTGTCTCCTGGTTGTCTGCTAGGTGCTGGGACTCCCAGTCCTGTCTTTGTTTATGTGGCCATTGGACATTTTGCCCAGTACCTGTTCGACACCATGGTGCATGTGGAATGGGCTTCCCCCTGGTGGTGGGGCACAGGAGAACACCACACCATCCTCACTGGTTCCTCGACGAGGTTGTAGTTCGTGTTGTGGGCCTGAGAGTGGTCTCATGGGCCCTCTGGGCTGCCCCTTAGGCTTCTCCGGGACTTGTTTTTTTTTCCCTGTGGACTTTCATGTGGATTTGGGTTGCTGGCCTCTCCAGAGCCTAGTCCAGATTATATGGAGATAGGAAGAAACTCAAGAGTCTGCTTTTCTCTTCCTGCCTTCCAGAGACTTTGAAAACTGCAGTTTTTGTGTGGGGAATAAAATAAACATTCAACAATACCCAGTGTTGGTGAAAATCGGATAAAGAACTCTTCAGATATGGTTGGTGGGCATGTTGCTTGGTGTGAATATGGAGAACCTTTTTGAAGGGCAGTTTAGAAATTTATTTTTACATTTAACATGTATCAGTATGTGTTCTTTTACTAGAATTTAACATGGAGGCTAATTATATTCAAAGATGGACATGCAAGCATTTTTAAAGTAGCCTTGTTTTGCAAGACAGAAATACTGTATGTAGTATATTAAAAAAACAATCTAAAGGCCCATTGTTGGAGAGTGATAAAATAATGGCACCTTCGGGTAGTAGAGCATTATGCAATTAGTTGGTTCTAAGTATTGCTGGAAGAAGGACTGCAGAATGCTGACTTGGCCTAAGTATTGGAGGAGTATGCGCGCTGATCCTTCTAAATGTGTGTGAATGTATGTCGGTTTGTGCAGCTTTAGCAGTTGCAGAATGAGACCTTTAAGCTCTGGAGAGGGTCTCTTCTGGGGCCGGGACCAAATGGTGAGCAAGGTGCACTGGGAGAGACAAGAAACTTGTTTCTTTATTTTAGACATTTTCCTGCTGTTTGAATGTTTTGGGCATTTATAATAATGTTTTGGCTGCCTTTATAAAATATAATCTTACTTATTTTAATGGAGTAGACTGTATCTCAAGTAATCTTCTTCCCACTCCTCCCCACCTGCTTTTTAGGACATGACTGATAACAGCAACCATCAGCTGGTAGTGAGAGCCAAGTTCAATTTCCAGCAGACCAATGAAGATGAGCTCTCGTTCACGAAGGGTGATGTCATCCACGTCACTCGAGTGGAGGAAGGAGGCTGGTGGGAAGGCACGCACAATGGCAGGACTGGCTGGTTCCCCAGCAACTATGTGCGTGAGATCAAGCCAAGTGGTAAGTGGCCAAGCCTGAAGTGGCACTGATGACTGCTGTTCTTGAGGCTGAGAAAGCAGCCATGAATGCATTAGCATCCTGAGTGCTAGCTCTCCAAGAGAGTCTGGGAAAGTGCCTCTGTCGTGATGAAGTTTTTGTTCAGTGGAATCCCTAACATTGGAGTTCTGGGACAAAGGGCTTCACAGTTATAACCTAGCTTTGCATTCCATCCTGACATTTTCCAGATTCCAAGGGAAATATCTCAAATGTGTTAATGTTCTCTCCTTCCTCCTCCAGGTACTGAGAGTTGAACTCAGGGCTTTGTACATGGTAGGCAAGTGCTCTTCCAGTGAATTACATCCCATTTTATTTTTGAGATAGTTTCTAAGTTGCCAGGCTGGCCAGAAGTTTGAGATCTTTCTGCCTGAGTCTCTTGAGTAGCTGGGATTTCAGGCGTGTACCACCATGCTCTGCTAAGTTTTTTTTTTTTTTAATTGAAGTGGGATCTTACTACCTTGTTCTTGCTGGTCCTAAACTCCCAGGTGATTCTCCTGCCTCAGCCTCCGAGTACAGCTGGGATTGCAGGTGTGTGCCACTGGGTAGTTGTGGTTACACTTTTGTGTTAAGATATACTTTTATTTTTTAGGGCTGGGGTCAGGGCTTGGAATTTGTGATACACAGGCTTTTAACTGTGGGCACTTTACCAATCATCTATTTGTAGATAATTTCTGCTGTTTATATCAGTAATAGTATTTTTAAATGTATTGCTTTCCTTGTGTTTTCTGTATTTTTTTGATGTTTTTTTACTGACCAAAACTGATCTTTCAGAGGCTGATCTCTTTTGAAAGAGAGTGGTGGTCTTTGGCATAGTTATATCGCTGATATGCACAGTGGAGTTGAATATTCTCTGAGGCTTGTGGTTAGATCTGCTGACCAGGGAGTGGCTGTGAATGTTGAACCTTGGTGAGGCCAGCGACTGAAGTGCCAGCGGACTGTGTTCAGGGGACGTGGCATTGATGTTTTCCTGACACAGGTGTTTCTTGGCCATACTTCAGGCCATGGGCTAGTGTGGAGGATTAAGAAGGAACTCCATAGAGACTTCTAGGTCATGTGAATGCTACTGGGCACTGCTGGCCTTCAAGGAGCTTGCCTAAATTGCCTCTACATATGTAAATCTTGTTTTATGTTGAGCTTGGTTATAGATGCTCTTGTGAGAGATAAAGATTTGCAATGAGATTTCAGAAGGAGGGTCAGAAAGGGGAAGAATGTGGGAAGGTAGGGAGAGAGGTGGGATGACATTTTGTAACTTTGTATATTGTTCCTGCTATTTGGAAAGTAGTGCACTATACTGTTTCTCTGATTCCGCCTGGGAAAGATGATTTACCAATATGGCTGAACAGGATGTGTGGAAAGGGCATAGTGTGCTGGGGTGGGTATGGCCTAAACTGCAGATATTTCAGATGGAAAGGACGACTCTGTGCATTGCTTGTGGAAGTCCCTTGGTGGGGCTACTTAGCTGCAGTATGTATGGTGGGAACTCAGTGCTTACACAAAGCAGGGTCCCTGAGTTGTCATTGCTGTTATTTTATTTTTTAATGTAGCAAGAAAAAATGAATTTTAAATGTGAAAATGACAGTTTTGATAGTAAAATATTTTCTCAACAGTGACCTTGGAAAACTTAGTGCTTTTGTTACTGGGGCCCAGGCCAGAGGCCTGAATCTGGGATCCCATCTAACTGGATTCAGTTTTCTGTCTGCATCAGGAATGAGAGCAAAACAATATAAAAGGGAAAAGTGAATTTAATCACAGCTTGGCCAAACCCAGAAACTACTGCTCTGCCTTTCCAACCTATTACAGGTTACTGGAGGGAGCAGTCATGTAGAACAGAAGCTGAGAAATACACATCTGTCTGGCTATGGCCTCCAGTGAGCCTGTGTGGCAGTTCTGGTTTTTGTACCCTCTGGTGCCCAGGGCCTGGGATTTGGGAGCATTCTTAGCTCCTGTTCTCAGCATGAGATGAGGTGATTGCCTGTGGGAAACAGGATGGAGAAAACAGCTTGAAGAACAGTTAGCAGGAAATGAATGGGACTGAGGAAAAGCAGTTTGAGGCTTATTGAAAGTTCCTGATTTTAAGGATGCCTGTTACACTTCAGTAAGACAGCGGGCAGCCGGGCAGCCGCGAGTTACAAAGTTCTCTGGGTTTTACTGTTCATTTTTGGTACCTTGTTTATATAACATTCACCTAGCCATTCTGTCGGTTTCTGAGTGTGTAATTCTGTAGCATTAGGGATGTGCATGTTGTTGCATAACCATTGCCTCTGTCGGCCTCCACAAGTTTCTCATCTTCCTGATCTGAGGCTCTGGCCCCAGGGAGCACTGATACCCTGCTCCCCTCCCCAGCCCTGTACCCCCTACTCTACTTTATGTCTCCAAAGCTGAGCAGCTCATATAAATAGAAACATACTGTTTCTGTCTTTTTGACTGACTTGTTTCACTGAGTGTAATGTGCTTAAGGTCCATCTGTTGTAGCATGTGTCGGAATTCCCTTCTCTGCATGTGTATTACCTTTGATTGTCTGCTGATGGGCAGTTGGGTTGCTTTTGCGTCTGGGCTGCTGTGTGCAATGCTACTGGTATGTGACTGGTCAAGTCCTTGTTTTCACAGGTTAGGTACAGGTACTCCTCGGCTATCGATGGGGTTGTACTTTAGGTAAACCAGTTGTAAGTTACAATATGGTAAGCCACCTAACCTGCTGAACACCATGGCTTAGCCTAGCCTACTTTAGACATGCTCAGAACAGGTGAACCAGCCTGCAGGTGGGAGAAGAGGGGAAATTGTAGCATACAATGCTAACCTGTGGAAAGACCAGGTTACATTCTTGAGTACATTCTTACTTTTTTTTTTTTATTAGTTGTTCAAAACATTGCAAAGCTCTTGACATATCATATTTCATGTTTGCTGAACAGCATGTGGTTACTTATTAAGGTTGCAGACGTGTCCCGATGTGTTGCAGGCAGGCCCCGCTTTAGTGTGGAGTGGAGGCATCAGGGTTAGCAGTGGCTGAGGAAGCTAGGTAGGAGGGACCGGTGAAAGGAGTGTTCTGTGTTGACCTCCCTCAGGGGCAGCTGTGACATTCTGCCCTACCTAAATTTCTATGTTAGTGTCTTGTTTCTGAGTGTGTGTGACCAGTTTGAATCTGTGTTTGTGATACGCTGGTGTTAAAGATGCGTTGTTTGTAGGGAACCACACCATATCCATAGTCTGTGTGCCAAATGGAGCAGTGAGTAGGTCGGCTTTGAAGTCTTTCTGTTTTTAAAAATATAAGACACATGCCATTATTTGTTGTCCTCTATTTGACAGTGAACCTAGGGGAATGCCTTCTCATCTAGTGTTCTGTGATCATCCGAGTATGTTGTTAGAAAAGTCAGGCCAGTCTGATTCCACATGTTGGCAGCTGAAGCAGAAAGGTGGGAGGCCACATCTTTTATTCTCCCACAATAGCAGGAGGATGAAATTCTAGGATTGCAGTTACAGTCAGTGTTGCAGTTTTCTTGATAGTTCATTGCCTTTCTGATGGAGTAGGTTTCTTTTTCTAAAGGTATGTTTAATTCAAGCATTGTAATTCATGGTGTAATTGGTGCTGAATTTGTTGAAAAAAAAATTGTGCTGGGTTTGAAGCAGACTTCTCTAACTGCCTTCATGTTAGATCATTTCCTTGTGAAAAAAACCCCCGACTTCTCTTCAATTGAGGGTTTTTTTTGCTGTTACCTTTTGGGTTGATTTCCAAGTAGTTTTACTTTGTAAGCAAAATCTGAGGGCTGCTTCTAAATTCTGCTGTTTAGGCTGCTTATCTCCAGATAAAGTCTCTAGATTGTCTCCTTCATCTCTGCTTTGGGGGGTGGGGAGTGTGCATAGCCACAGGTTATGCCCTCTTGTGGTTAGACTCGGAAGTGTTCTTGTTGTGCTTTCTGCTTTTAACCTGTGGATGGTTTCTTGTTTGAAATAGTTCTGCTTTGAAGATAGATACCTTTCAAGTCTGTATAATAATCTTTATTTGGTGTCAAAAGTGCTGTAGATTATTCCTGATGTGTACAATCTTGTGGAGGTATGTAATTGTTACTTAGCATTTATTTTCTGTGTGTCTTTTTTTGGATGTGTAAAACTGATGTGTTTTACATATATATATACATATATATATATACACATATATATATATGTATATATATATATATGTTTCACACATACATAGGCTCATAATATGGAATTCCCTACATTGAAGGGAGAAGGCAAGGGGAGAGCACAGCAAAGCCTGTTCTGGGATGGAGAGATGCTGACTTTTGCTGTTTTTGAAGTGGAGGTGCTCAGTAGTACACACTCCCCAAGTGTCTCTTAGACGGTTATTTCAAACGTGTTGACTCTAATCCTTGCATTTCTGGGCAGCCCATCTGTTGTGCAGGAGAGGCATTTCCTCTGAATGTTAATTCACACTGTGGCTTCCTGAGTTCGCCACTTTTTAATATTTCCTGCTCGTTTTTCATAAAGAGTGACGGGACATGCTGCTGAGTTTTGGGAGCAGGACAGGATGACCCAGGACCTTGCACCCTCTGCTGCGGAAGAAACTTATACTGCAGCCCCTTCTTTCTCTGTTGAAGGTAGGGTCCAGGCAGGGACCTGTTTTCAAACAGTATTTTCCCCAGTGCACCCAGAATATAAAGGAGTCATCCAGATACAGATGGTTTTGGTTAAGAGCATAGATGGGAAGATTCGAGCCTCTGAGGCACATGTGGAGAGCACAGTGCTACGTATCAGGATCTGGGATTAGATGGTTTGGAATCTTTGGAATCCCAGTGCAAGTATTCATGCAACTTAACATGCCAGTGTGCACTCACCCCAGCACAGATGTCACAGCGTGTGGTGTGACTTGTTCTGTACGGCCATCTCCTGATGACAGTGACCAATCATCCTCACTTGAAGGGGAGCATCCCACAGATGAGATCATATATAGCAGTTTGTAGTCAGGTCCTTAGTCTTTCAGGATGAGAGGCATTCTTTTCCCCCAAAGTTATTCTTATTTATGTTAAATAATATAAACAGGTCATATAGTATGTAGGATGGAAGTACCTTTGCAATGTGAAGAAGTGTCCCCTATGCTTCCAGGCCCTGCCCAGTGGCAGCCTTTGCTCAGGCTCTTCTCCCCCTTCCAGGGAGGATGTGGAGGTTTTGTCTCCTGTCTTGCCTTTTCCTCCTGCCTCCTTGTGCTATTTTGCTTTCATATTCCTCTAGTTGGTGATGCTAGTGATATAGGCCATCTTGCGTCTCATCAGCATTGTGTGCTTCTCTCTCGCTGCTGCTGTGACACAGTGACTTAACATGGCCCTGTTCTTTGCCCTTCTGCTTTCTGTCTTTGGTCAGCTATATTTTCATATTGCATTGTCAAGACTGTTAGCAAGTGCATCTGATTCTGAGACCACAACCAATACCCACTCGGCACACATGTGAGCGAGCAACCTTCTGCATTCGTAGGAATGGAGAAACACCGTAGTGGGAAAATCAGCAGGGTTTTTAATGAATTATGAGGCACAGCAGGAGCAGCCTGAATAGTGCCTGAGGTGAGGGAGGGTGGTGGTCCCTGTGCTATCTGCAGGCACTTTTGTAGAATGCAAGAGACAGAGGAGCTTCAGTCAGATTCACTGGTGCTGTTTGGCCTCTGCTGACTACCAAAGTCGTTGTCACGACAAACAAGGAGGTTTGAACACAGATGAGGCATTAGAAAAGACTAAAAGTTACTTTTTTTTAGATGTGATTAATAGTCTGATAGTAGGGTTTTTGCTTAAAACTGAAAAAAGGTCACTCTGGCAAGGTGAACATTAAACTATTGATGGATAAAATGATGCCATTTCTGGGGTTGATTGTATATTGCTTCCAGAAAAGAAAAAAGGGGTAATATGTGGTAAGATTGGTTAAATGTTAATGGCTGTGTAAGCTCTACTTTTTACTGTAGTAAAGTTAGGAGAAAACAGTAACTGCACAATTACAGCATTTTCAGAGACAAATCAGAAGTAATTGCTGTCGCAGCTCATCCCTTAGAGAAGAGGAGACTCAGCACCTGATGGAGTCAGGACCTGGGAACCGGGAGGGTGAGAGTGGATGGTGAGTGGGGAGTTGCAGTCTCCACAGGGCAAAGGGCACATGGTGCCTTCCAGGCAAGGGGAAGAGGAGCAGAGGGAACAAGGAAGACGGGGAGGGAGACGGGAGAATAGGCCCCTGGGCAGGGCCGCGTGGCAATCTTGTGTTTGGCCTCCTCGTGGCCATGCGGGAAGAGGCCATCGTGGCCCAGCCAGCTAGCACCTTCCAGTGCTGCTGCTGTGGCTTGCCCGTGGGTGTCCCGCCTCAGCCCAGGACACAGGCTTCTCGGCTCGGGAAAGGTCTGCCGAAGCCTGCCCCTCCTCTTCCCTGTGTTCTCATGGAGATCCTGTGAAAGCCTGGTTTTGGTTTTTAACCAGTTTTTCATTTTCTTTCTCCTCTCCTCCCTCCACCCCTCCTCTCCTCTCCCCTCCTCTCTCTCTCTGGTTTGTTTCACAGTCGGTGTTAATTTTGAATACATCCTCAAATTGGGAAACTTTGGTTCATGGATTTCCCATTCACCTGTGGTGTTAATGGGTCCATTGAGATGTTCATTTGAGTGATCATATTATTTATTTCTAGAAGTTTTGCTTCATTCTTTTTCAGTTGTTCTTCATGTTCAGGTTACCCTTTTCACTCATTTTGGTCCCTCTCTTCCTTGTCATTTTAAACACACTTCTTCGGTTGTCTCGTTTCTGCCTTTTGTGAACTTGGCTCCTGCGCCTGTTGCAGCCCTGGGCTCAGGCTTCATTTCTTCTGTGGCTTACAGTCCTCAGGCAGGTTTCTTTGGAGGAGATGTATGTGGCTTCATGGTTCTGGGCCAGTGGACGAAAGCACCTAAGCTGTTTTTCATGGGGCTCGCCCAGGGGGTTCTGTTGCATTGGCCCTGCTGGGACTGGGACTGGGCTGTGCCTTGCCTCCCCGTGTTGGCTATGGCCCTACCAGGGGCCAGGATGAGTTACCCCCTCCCACAGGTGGTGCAGTGAGATTGTGGGCACTTTGGGACTCTCCTCACTTGTTTTTCTTTCACACATCTGTGTTTGAATTCTCTTGTTTTCAGCGTAAGTTTTTTGAGTTTATTGCAGGAAAGAGAAGACCTGCCATATCAGGCAGCCCTGGGAAAGTGGCACTGAATTCTGTCCTCTTTATTTCCCCACACCTCAATAATAGCGAGTTTAAATAACTTTTAGCTATAAGGTGGGCTAAACATGTTGTTTTTGCAGAGAACTAAGGAGGTTGAGTGTTTGGGGACCGATTTCCTGGCTATATGCATTTTTTTCTATTATGAATGACCATAACTTCACCCGTATTACATTTTTGTCCTCCATTTTTGGTAGAAGCTACCAAAGGCCCCTAAGGTTGCCTATTGCCTGCCCTGTTCTTTTGACATATGTCCCCTCCTGGGTTGACATTCCTGGATCCCAGACACTTGGCATGAGCATGCAGATGAGTGACTCCTGTGTCAGGAGGAAGGGGCGGCCTCCTGGCTGTCCTTGGAGGGGATCTACCTCACCTGTTTGTGTAGTCTGCTTCCTGTAGGACTGCTGTGGACACTCATTGGAGGGGTTGTGGCCTTTGGAGCCCTCTGTTGAGAACTGACTGCAGGGCATATTCGGGAATGTGATCAGGAGACCTGCCTGCCTCAGTGCTGTCCATGTAGCAGCCCCAGAGGGAGAAAAGACAGTTTGTGTGGGATTACTCTGATTTGTCTCTGTTTCCTCTTTGCACCTTTCCTATATTTTTGTATAAAATGAGTAGCCTGAACCTTTTTAATTGAAAATCTTTTTCCTTAATGTTTTCATAGGAAATTGAGTCCAATTAACTATTGTGTTGAGAATGAGGTATGTCTTAAGTTTAAATAAAATAAAATATCAAATTCATTATTTTAAGATAAAGCAGATTCAAGATTATGCTCGTGCAGTTAACCACGCAGGCACAAGTACTAATACATGTGCTCTTCTTGTGTGGTTTAGGGTCAACGTGGCTTTGAGTCAGCCTTCAGCCATTTCACCTTCATTATCCCTTTGTGTTTTGCTCCCAAATTGCAGACTTCGAAGATGGAAAAAAACATTGTTCTCATGTAAAAGTGTCAGTCTTCTCTAATAGTTACCTTTTTAGCATAGGAAGAGCTGAGTTTAGGAGGAGGGTGTGTATAGAGCAGGTCGTTTTCCTTGTGTATTACTTGCATTTAGAAGCAGGTGGTTTTCCATCCATGGTTTGAGAGAGTTCTTTCACCTGGGAAGGACATCTTCAGTTTTGTTCTTGACAGCAAGGTGCTCAGAAAGGTAGCAAGCACCTCTAGGGGAAGCACGCCCAAGGTTAAGGGTTGTGAGTTCTTGGGCACTTAGGGCTTGTCTTTGTGTCTGGAAGACATTAGAGGCGCTGCACAAGCAGTTGACTTTAGGACTTGCAGCTTGGGAGTGTTGAGTTTGGCAGGTGCTGCCTAGAGCCCTGTGCCTGTGAGATTGTGGGCAAAGGAAGAGTGGAGGGCCACTAGAATTGTGGACAGGTGCCATCACCTCACACACCACAGGGACCGGATGTGTCCCTGCCCAGTATCAGGATTCACACAGCAGGATTCTTTCAGGGGAGGTGAGGCATGAGGGGGACTGTGATGTAAGTCCCCTAGGAAATATTCAGAAGAATTTCTTGGTAGAGAATATGGAAGACGCCGCTGTCCCAATGCGATGCCTTATCCTGTAGCCCCAGGGGCCAGTGATAGATGGATCACAGAGCCAGTTAGACTTGTACCACTGGCCCCTCCCCACAGAGCCAGTAATAATCAGGGTGCCAAGCACACCTGAAGGCAAGCCATGGGTCAATATGGATGGGCAGGCTGCGGAGAACCCCTGGTGGACACCACACACCGACCTGCATGCCCACTGCCTATGGAACCATCACAGACACAGGCACACACTGCTTCCGAGGAGCAGAGATTCCTCCACTCCTACTCTGCCTGGGGTCTTGGATGTGTGCCGAGCTCTCACACGTCCCAGCCGCAGCCCGACTGCGTCCGACGCTGAGCTGCAGCGTGGTGCTGCTTCCCTGGGTTTGCCTCTCTTCTTTCCTTCCTCTTGTCTCTCTGCTGGTTGGGAAGCCTTGTGCGTTCTGCCCACTCGGAGTCCCGAGAGTTGGTCTAGAACCGGGGTCTCGATGTTCTGATGTTTGTCTGTACCTGCCAGCATTTTCTTTTTTGTGTGATGTTTTGTATTTAGGATGCTGTGAAGGTGTATGCGAAGCTCACCTCTTGTTTTTAGCTGACACTTGTGGAGCATAATTGCTCAGTCATTTCCAATCCACAGCTGAAGAACTGGGCCATGACCTCCACACACCCAGCCAGAGGGAGCCTGGTCTGTGTGCTAGACCCTTCCCTCATCATCTTCTCTGGCTGGTTCTTTGAGCTGAGGCTGCTGGGAGAGCAGTCGTGGGTGCAGGAGGGGCTGGGCCAGCATGTTTTACCATCTTTGGTGTTGGCCTGTAACACTGCTTTGTGTTTTTATTCCAGAGAAACCTGTGTCTCCCAAATCAGGAACTTTGAAGAGCCCCCCCAAAGGGTTTGACACAACTGCCATCAACAAGAGCTATTACAACGTGGTAAGTTATGGAGGACATTTTTACAAATAACTACTGCTCCTTAAATATTTATGAAACTCAGGAATGTGGGCTACATGGAAGGAAATAGAAAGCTTTCCCTGTTGGCACATAGACAGAACCACCAGTGGTGCTGCAGAGTGTCCCCTTTTAGTGTGGGTGTGCTTCATTGTGTTTTGGAATTGTACCCTGCTCTTGTCATAAAGCGTAGCATCATTTCCCCATAGCGTCAAGTAGATTTTCACAAATGAGATTTTAGAAGGTGTAGAATATGATTTAAAATTGTTGTATGCACTAAGTTGCATTCTGTTTGAATTTGGAGTGGAATATAAGTAGTTTAAAGATCAATGTAGTTTCTAGTTTATTTTGTATTTTCTATGTAGCTTTTCTCTAGGGCCCCGCTGTCTGTGTTTCAAATGGTATGGAATTAGAGGTGTGTCTAGACTTCACGCATGTTAAAGACAAGTGTTTCTGGATCTTGAAATTTGCTGTATTTTGAAATAATATGATAACGATAATATGTCTATTGTGTTCACCTGTATCACATAGTCCCCCTTTGTCCCCAAACAACTGCATATGCTAGGAGTAGGGTTTTTATTCGATAAAACTATTAAATTGCTGGGATGATAGCAGCAAAGTAAACTTTCTAAACATACATGTATTTTGAATTCTATGGAAAATGTGCATTTATTTTGTTTAACACCCCCCCCCCCCCCAACACACACACACGGACTCATGAGGGCTTTGTATTTTTATGGTATGGTAGCAGCTGATTAGTGTCTTTGCAGCATCCCTTTTATCATGATTGTTTTCTATCCCTGAATTAAGAAATGGTGAATGGTCACATTTGGACTTGAGTGGATTCTGCTGCATTGACTCCACCAGTCCTGTGCTGGGTCCTGCACACTCGGTGCTCTCCTCAGCATTCGTCCCTGGCTGCTGCCATATCTTATTATACAGCAAGTTGGCTGTGGGGAAAATTTACTGTGTTCAACAGATAATTCTGTGGTGCTCATGATGCCCAAGCACTGTCAAAGGCATGGGCCCAGGTGCTGTTCTAGTGCTGGATGCACTGTTTCCTCTCACCTTCCTCCTCTTTCTTAGGGCTCCTCCTCTTTATAAAGTCAGTTCTTCACCTCTTCTGGCTAGAAGGCCTCTCTGTACATCATGTCCCTTTGCTAATCAGTAGACTTTCTCTTTTTTTTTGTGAGTCAGGTCTTTCTCCCCCTACAAGATTGTTCTTTGAGTCTCAGCCTCTACATCTCATTTTCCTTCTTTCTACCAATCTCCATCTCATGAATTTGACCCTGATATCCGAGTGCTGCCAGTTTTAAGAATGTTAGACTCTTCTCAAAACATTTGCTCCCAGTGGCTCTGGAGGCTGAGACAGGAGGATCGAGAGTCCAGAGCCAGCCTCAGCAAAAGCTAGGAGCTAAGAAACTCAGTGAGATCCTGTTTGTAAATAAAATACAGCATAGGGCTGGGGAGGTGGCTCAGTGGTCTAGTGCCCCTGAGTTCAATCCCAGATATCCAAAAAAAAAAAATTTGTGACCTGAAAGTATATGGGCTTCCCTGCCTTTTGCTTTTAGCTTGTGCCCCATAGTATGATACAGGGTAAGGAGTTCAGGTCTTGGGTCTGTTGTCTTTGCCACTTAGCATTGGAGTGGCCTGGGGGTAGCCTCCCACTGCCTGAGCAGATAGTGGTTTGTGAAATGAGGTGGCTGGTTATGCTGGCCCTAGCCTTGTAGCATGAGGAGGATCAGTGATTGGCCTTGAGTACCCAGCAAAGTGCCCGACCCCCAGAGTTTGCATGTGCTAGGAAGAGCACTTAGAAGCTCTGGGGACATATATTAGTTGGGATTACATTCCATTTGTGGGAAGGTATCCCAGTTTCTTCTTAGGATGATCGGTGAGACCTGTTGCTGGGGTGATCTGCTCCTGTAATTGCCTGAACTTGATGGTTCTGATAGTGAAAGCTCATTACTGCACCCCAGTGTGATGATAGGCAGCTTCCCCTTGGTGATCCCAGAAGGACCTGAATGCCCCATCCTGGAGAGTGGGACAGGCTTATGTCACCTCCTGTTGGCCATGAGCATGTCCTTACTGACGAACGAATTTGTTTGTTTCTCTTTTTAATATTTTTTCGTTGTAAGTGGTCACGATACCTTTATTTATTTATCTTTATGTGGTGCTGAGGATCAAACCTGGGGCCTCACATATGCTAGGTGAACGCTCTACCACCGAGCCACAACCCCAGCCCGATGAACGAGTTTCTTATTTTGTCTGCTGACCTGGGAAGACAGGTCTGTGTCCTGTGCCTAGTGATGTCGTGTTTTATTTAGCAGCTGTGCACTTATGTCTGATGTCATGGAAAGGCAGAGTGGCTTTTGCCTTTGGAATGCTGCACATGCGAAGCATAGGCTATGACCCACTAGTTTAATCTACAGGTACATAGAGCAGATGCATTTCTCTGACAAAGACCACTGCTTGCCTTCTCACCTTCTCCTGTGCCTCAGAGGAGTGTTCTGCCTGTCTGTTTCTCTTGGGGTCTGGGAGGTTGCTGGTAGCCTTTGGATGACAAGCCAGCAGGAAAACTGAGACTCTAATAATAGGATGTCTTTGGTTTAACCCACCATCACTAGTTCTAGGTCCTGGTTCAGCTTCATGTTTTACTTTCTACTTGGCTTTTCTTCTCAGTCCTGCTGAGGCTAATTATCTGCCATGTCCAGGAGTTCTACAGGTATGCAGCTTGATTCTCTGTGGCTTTCCTGGGAAGTAGCTCCCTTGTGTATCTCACCATGTTTTCTGTGGGAACTGAGTGCTTGCAGTCTTCCCTGGCAGACTTGGCTCTTTTAGTTCTCATGAAACTGCCTTGTTTTATGTAGACTGAGATGGCATGCATTGCAGTTTCTGGTGGTGGTGGGGACCTGATGGGGGCCTGATAGAATCAGCTGAATACTCTTGGTGAATGAAGAAATGCTTGGTGGAGGAAAAGGCTGTCTTGTGAAACAGAGAACCCCCTCTTAGACGGGTCCCTCAGGAAGAGGCTCTGAGCAGGGTTCCCAGCTTGAGTTAGGAGGTGTCCGGGTGGGTTGGTAAGATTTCTTCCTACCTTAAGTCAGTGACAGATGCTCTTGGTTAAATATAAATCTTTTAAATCCTTTTTTATAGAAGAAACAGGCTGACCCAACTCCCTGCCCTGCAGTGTTGGTGTGCGCTGCCTGCTGTGGCGTTGTGCATCATGGTGGACCCACAGGCTTTTGTAGTAGCTGTTGTTTGATAAACCTTTAATACTTGGAAGAAGTCTACCCCAAGACCCTGTGAACTCCCAAGCTTACAAATATCATATAACACAGTTCTTCTAAAGGGTACACTAAAAAAGCAGAGATGCTCTCGTGCTCCCTCCACATCTTTTTGAGACTCCATATTAGTAACAGGTATTAAGTATGGAGTTGTTTTTAAGGACAAATAGAGGTTAGCAAACTACCTTATATCAGTAATGGGGGTTACTCTGTGTTTCCTTGGAACCCATAGATTATGGAGCCAGTGAGCTCCCTGCCTTCCTCATTGTAACCTTTCGAGAATTTAAATAGACTGGACTGAAAGGTGTCACTTAAGTGACTTTTTTCATTCTTTGTGATGGCTGCAGGCAGGGGCTGGTTGAGTAGAGCAGAACAGGGTTTGGAATAGTTGTACGATTTTAATTTTTTGTGTGTTTATAATTAAGATGATTTTATGGGCATTTGGCTTTAGTTTAAGATGATGGTAATGTTTTATCTGTATGGAACCTAAAACAATTGCCTAATGTTGTTTCTCATATGTAAATCATTAATTTATTTTTAAGAACTGTTAATGACACATAGAACATGCAACACTACTGAGATTTGTGGTCATAGTTGTAGCTCATTCGCTGCTTCAGTGGCATTGCTGATAAGGTGAGTTTCTGTGTGTCTGTGAGGCACAGGAGCCAGTCCTTTGCACTCTGATTTGCTTTGAGGTTGACAGTGTGGGGATGTGGGTGTCTGCTGAGGCCACTGCTCTCTGGCGCCTGCGGGACTGTACGCTTCTCTGTGCCTGACCACTCAGGGCCCGTGCCCCTGCAACTATCTTAGAGAATCCAGCTTTTGGGTGAGTGTCTTTGCAGTCATTTTGGTGCCTTTTCCTGGGCAGCTTTTGTCCCTGTGTGCTGTGCTTCAGTGCTGTGATTGAGGAAGTGTCATTTTATTTTACTCCTATCTCTATTAGGGGAATTTTTTAGTGGATGTTCTCTTTATATTGCGTAGGAAAATTTTTCTGACTGAAAACAATTTTGTGATTTCAAGCATGCACTGAGTAGTGTGGCCAAGTGGTCTCCAGTGTTTGTAACTAGGAAGCTGCCTCATCCTTCTGACCTCTGCTTTTAAGTTGAAAAAGGACTTCTCATAATGCGTAACAGATTTTGTTTTCATTTCTGTTTAAGGACGATTGTGCTTGACTCACTTTTCCGATAGTCTCTGATCAGGTGTGGTTCTGAGTCTCATTCCCCTTTGACTCCACCCCCACCAGCTGTCCTCACAGGCACCAGAACAGTGTTTTGATGGGCAGTCTGGAAGCCTCAGACGTTGCCCTGTTGGCTGGCTTGGTGTGTACATTGTTCACTGAGGTCTGCATTTTCTTGTGGGGACTGTGCTCTCATCGCAGTCTGAGGAGCAGCAGTAGACAGAAGAATGACCCAGGTCATGTGTGTTAAGACTGAGGTTTGAATTTAACTCTTCTGACTTAATGTCTCAACCTACATTAGGTTATCAGAAGATAACCAAGTGCTCAGTATCTCAATTACTCCTGTACGCTCTCATTTGTGTGATGGATTTGGAAAGGTCTGTTGGTTTTGAGAGGCACATAGCACAAGGAGAAAATGCATGTACTATGATTTTCTGGTTAAAACAATACTGACTTTCTAGTAGAGAGGGATAAAAAGGTTCAGTCAGGGAAGGGACTCTGACTCCTATCCTCCTTCCCTCAGGTGCCCAGAGCGGCCCTGTATTGCAGGCAGTGGCAGAAGGATGCCAGGTCACTTTTTGGCTCTGCTGCTCACCAGCTGTCTTATGTGGATAGGACAAGTTAGCTTCTTAGAAGGAAATGTGTTTTTGCAAGGATCACAGATACCATATGCTTGGTGCTAGGCATGTACGGAGTGTCACTGCTTGGAGAACCCAGTCCATCAGAATCCCATGATCAGTGGCATTCCCTGGGCTGTGGGTCACCCTGCTGCCTCCTGGAGTTCCCAGGGGGGCACCTTTGCTGTGGGTGATGGCTGTTGGGGACCGTTGCTCTGCTTCAACTCTTTTGCACTTCATCTGCCAGGTTTTAGGGATTAACTAAATTTGGCTGAATTTGCTACACACACACACACACACACACACACACACATTTAATTTTAAGGTTAGTTTATTATTTAAGGTTAAATAAATTTATTATTATTTAAGGTTAAATAGCATAGACCTTTGAAGTTGTGCTATTATTTAAAGTTACTTTATTATGCTGTCTTTAAACAAAGTAGTAGCTATTTAAAGATTGTTTACTTGGGCAGACCTTTAATTTTTAGTAGATGTGGTATGTAGGATGATACAAGACTTTACCACATTCTCTAATCAAAGTCTTTAGTTCGCAGGAGTTGATTTCAGTTTTTCAGATCCAATCTAAAGAGTAAGTGTCTTCCATTTAGTTGGGATACTTTTCACTTATAAGTGTCTCTTACCAAAAGGCTTGAGACATGAACTGTTTGAGTTTGGAGATTTTGTGTTTTAGATATTTGCATAGATTTTACTAGCATTATTTATTGAAACCTAAAATGTTCCAAAAACTTAAAACTTTTCAAGATCTGAAACTTTTCAAACATCGTGTCTGTGCTAACAAAGTTTTAGAGTATGGAGCTCTTTGGTTTTTGAATTATGCTTACCCTGTATATTAAAATGCATAGATTTTAAAGGTGCAGCTTTGACAAATGCATTTATCTGTGTAACCACTACCCAAATCAAAATACAGAACAAATCATCCAGAAATTTATCCCGTGTCCCTTTTCCCTTCCCCACCCATCTTCCACCCCATTTTGATTTCTGTCACCATAGATAAGTTGTGCCTGCTTGTGGACTTAGTGTAGATGGGGATGTAATAGCTTCTCCTGCATAGCCCTGTGTGTGGACGGTCATCTGTGCATTCCTCTGAGGACCATCCTTTTCATCTAAATAGATGTGGCCCTGCTTATTTGATGATGGAATTCATTCAAGTTCATTCTATGCATATCTGTGCCAAGTGTGGCTGACAGGAAGATGAAATCTGATGGGTGACCTTAGTAATAATTTATGACATGGGGATAGAAGTTAATCCAAGGAATAATTACATCCAGCACATTAGTATTACCTAGAAGCCATATGTAAATTGAACAATGGTTATGAATGTCCTAAAGTTTATAAATCTTAGTGTCAAATAATGCTTATTCATCATTTATTGTAGGTGCTACAGAATATTTTAGAAACAGAAAATGAATATTCTAAAGAACTTCAAACCGTGCTTTCAACTTACCTACGGCCATTGCAGACCAGTGAGAAGTAAGTTAGATGACAATTGCATGCACTGTTGGTCCTTACCTTAGGCTCTTCTCTTATACTCTTATTTTTGGGAAGTAGAGGTTGAAATGATGGAGTGGAACTCAGCAGAGGAGCCTGCCTCAGACACAGCAGTGTATCTGCTAGGTTAAGACTGCAACAGGACCTGGGCTGGGAATCGGGGGAATGCAAGCCAAACTGTTGACTAATTTTTACTGTTATTTTTCTTGGCTCTAGGTTAAGTTCAGCAAATACTTCATATTTAATGGGAAATCTAGAGGAGATATGTTCTTTCCAGCAAATGCTTGTACAGTCTTTAGAAGAATGCACCAAGTAAGTAAGATGCTGAAGTTTACAAAATTCAGATTGGTATTATTGGAACCAAATGGATCAAGTTTAACATCATTTTAGAATTCACATTTCTGAAGATGCAAACTGCTTATTTTATATCCTTTGGGTAGATCTACCTTTATAGTTATAGCGTATTTTAGATGATCTAGTTTTTATAGTAGAGATCTTGAAAGAAAGGGGAAAGTCTTGACAAGGTTGATTTTTTTTTTTTTTTTTTTTTTCCTTAATAGGGATGTTGAAAGGGGAAAGTATTGGGAAGGTTTTTTTTTTTTTTTTTTTTTTTTTTTTTAAGGGGAGGGAGGGTTACGAGGAAGAGGCTGCAGAGGAACTGGGATGGGGGTTGGCCAGGAGGCCACAGGTGGCTCGGCTCCACATACGCCACCATGAGCTGCAGAGGGGGATCGAGAAGGCAGGCGTTTTCTAGCACGGTCTTGTAATTGTGACTTGTTCCTTTAAGAAGCTGGTGGATGTAAAGTACCATATGTGTACAACCTGCTGTCAGGTGTTTTTTTAGAGTTTATTTCATTTTTGTAAGTGGCAAATAGCCCCCTAAGGTGAACTTTTTATGTAGGCCCACCATTTATGAACATCTTCTTAATGTGTCCCAGGCACTGACTTTGCTCTCTACGTATTAATTTATGTGACCCTGTAGAAGACCCCATGGGGAGCTTTGTAAAGGTAGGAAGGTCTGTATACCCAAGGGGCAGGGTGATTGGCCCCAGGCCATGGGAATGGTGGACTCTGATTTGGAGCCCAAGTGGTCTCCCCTTTGCTTAATGTGAAGGATGAACTGATTCTGAGAAGCCCCTCCTACTATGAGTCTTGAAGTATGGCTTTGAATCTTGTAGTTAGCAACATTGTTGCCAGTGGGCTCTACCCATCTGCTGCTCACTCCTGCCCTCTACTGACCTGGAGTGGACTCTTCTTGCTGCTCAGAGGAAAGCCGCAGGCCCAGCCAGGCCTAGAGCCCAGGCTGTCTGCTCACAGTGGGAACGTGCTCAGCCTCATTTCGGTGGGCAATTTGTAGGGAGAGCTGAAGCAGCATATGCTCTCTGAGTATAGTGTTGGGAATGCAGTTTTCCTTTAAAATATCACTTTAGGTGATGGAGAGTTCTTTACACTTGCTTTATTGGAGGCACATTAGACTGTGATTTAAAGAGCCTTTCTTTTGATACCATTCTCACTAGTCAGGGGTATGTAGCTGTGGCTTTAAAATGAGTTCTGGAGGATTGTGGGACTTTAGGGCAGAGCCTCTAAAGCAAGGCTTTTCAGTAAAACCCATTTTTAAGTGGGGGACTTGCTTGTGTATTATTGTGTAAAGCAGGTTAAGTTCTGCTGAAAACAGAATCTCCAGGTTGTTCTCTTTGTGGAATGTTCTTGCTGTCATTCCATGCTTTACTTGTGTTTATTTTGGTATTGATTGCAATGCTCTTCTAATACTTAAAGCTATGAAGACATACCAGCTCTCTAGCTTTTTGTTAAGTATAGATGCCAACATATAGGCTGGCAGTCAGTGGGGGTGCAGGGTTTGCTGGCAACCCTGCTCTCTCCCTTGCCCCCCATTCTCTCATTTTCTGCTCTCCTGCCCTCACCCTGTTCTGGTGACCTTCAGGGCCACAGCTGGCTTCTCACAACCCTGCGTGATTACAGTGTCTCATAACTTCCTCTCTTCTGCTTTGTGTCACATTGTCATGTATGGGACACTGTTTCATCATGAAGTTTCAGAGGCTTGTGAATGGTCCTACCAGAAGAGAGAATAAGCTCTGGCCATCTAAAAACAGTTTACATAATGCCACTATTAATGAAGGACATCAGGGAGACACATCCTTCAAAGAAGTATCAAAAATGAGGCCATTGTGATGCTGGTCCTGGGGGCCACAATTGGGACAAATGGGATTATATTCTTTCATTTTGGTTTTGGGGCCAGCAAGAGCAGACTTGCCAAGAGATTGCCAGGCCTGTGGCCATTATGGTGTTGGCACTTGTGGCCCCACTGTGAGTAAGACTAGGATACTGGGGCTGGGGCTCGGGCTTAGCGGTAGTACCCTTGTCTGGCATGCACGAGACACTGCGTTCCATCCCCAGCACCACCTATAAATAAATAAAGGTCTAGCAACAATTAAAAAAAAAAAAAAAAAAATATATATATATATATATATATATATATATATATATATATATTGAGAGCCACAGTTAAGTCGGAATGACGCCTGGCATTTTGCCAGAGGGAATGGTTGAAAGGTGACCCTGCTCCAGGAATAGGGCGGCTCCGGGGATTAGGGTAGATCCTGCTGCCTTGGGCGCAACTACTTTGGAGTTCCCTTTGAGTTCTCCCGGGGTTCCGGGAGAACTGGCACCGAGCCTGGTGGAGGGAGTGTGTTCCCGGGAAGTGTGTGTGGAGTGCTGGTGAGAGTTCGGGAATAAAGAGTTGCTGTTTGAACCTACAAGACTTTGTGGCGGCTCGGTTATTTTGTGCCCAGCCAGACTGCAGCATTTGGTGGCCCGACTTAACTGTGGCGCGCTCTCTCTCTCTCTCTGTATGTGTGTGTATATATATATATATATATATATATATGAAACTGCTTGTGAAGTCTCATCTCTGAAGGTGTCTGTGTGACATGGACAGACTCAGACTGTGCTGGGTTCACTGAGAACAGGGACACAACTGAGGTCTACTCAGATCCTAGTTTCATCTTCCTGTTGATCTCAGCCTCATCTGCAATGAACAGTTAGTAAACTGAGTCCTTTCCTCTCTCTGATGAGCAGGACCAATAGGAGTAGGTGTTGTAGGAGCAGAAATAGAAGTTCTCTGGTTTCTCAGGTATTTTGCTAGGACCTGGCCATTTTTTTTGAAAATTAAAGCTATGAAAACATACCATTTTTTTAAAAAATGGCCAGGTCCCAGCAAAATACCTGAGAAAGCCTCTATGGACATCCTCTTTAACCTCCTGCTGACGCTATGCTGTACGGCATGGGGGTAGACATTGTGTGTGGCTGCCATGGTCTTCTGGCTGTGTGGTGACACCACCACACGTGCTTTTTACTATGGCATTGGCTTGACTGGAGGCTACAGGTGGGAGGAGCTAACAGGGTGCTTTTCTATGTAGCTACCCACGAGCTGTGCTCCACCTGCCTGCTCTCACACCCTGAGAAGCACGAGAGAGAACCAGAAGAAGATTCTCTGTTTCAGTTCTCAAGTCACATTCTGTGCTCACATCTATGAGCTTGTTGGTTGTCCCATGAGTCCCTTACCAGATGAGTAAGTCATTATGAAGCTGTCTAGTAATCCAGTGCTGGTTCTGTATTCTTAAGAGCTAGTTCATGCCTAAGAGGTAACAGAACTCTAGTTTAGATTCAGTGTAGCAGAAGAGAAAAAGTCACTGGTTATTGTTCCTTTATGCCTGATACTTACTCTTTGATTTTCATCAGTTGACAAATTTGAGACATGAAATCAATTGATCTAGACTTTGGGTGTGGTCTTCTTTTTTTTAATATTTATTTTTTAGTTGTAGTTGGAAACAATACCTTTATTTTATTTATTTTTATGTGGTGCTGAGGATCAAACCCAGGGCCTCTCATGTGCTAGGTGAGTGCTCCACCACTGAGCCACAACCCCAGCCCCGGGTGTAGTCTTCTTTGAGTGGATCCAGAGCTGTGGCATTGAACCAGGTGGGAGATGAAATCCTAACAGTATATGCCTGTACTGGGCAATGTGTACACAATTGTAGTAATTTAACCCACGTGAGATTATCTGTCTCTAATATTGTCCCTGTGCCACATCTCTGGCCATTGTTCTTATAACTTTGGCATCCCATCTCTCTCTCTCTTTTTTTTTTTGGTGGTGCTGGGGATCGAACCCAGGGCCTTGTGCATGCAAAGCAAGCACTCTACCAACTGAGCTATATGCTCAGCCCCTTGGTGCCCCGTCTTTATGCAGTAGTCTTCAGTCCACTTGGCTAAGCCTCTTGGGGTCCTCTCTCATCCTGGAAGCCACCCTATTCTTGGTGTTTCACCTGTCTGAGTATGCCTTTCACCTGCCAGATGGCAGGACCTACTGTTCTCAAAACACATGTGTCTGTGTGTGTGGATCTTTAGGGCAGGTGGCCCTGGTTTGTCCTTGTGCGTGTGCCTCTGTTGGGTGTGAGCCCCTGACTCTGCCCGCATGCTCCCAGTGGACACTTTTCCTCTGTAGGCTATACCCGTTCCTCGTGCCCTGTCTCCTGTCCAGTTCACTGGTGCACTTGTTTTGTATTTTCCAGAAAGATGGCGCTCGTTTTCTAAGGCAAGAGACTACTCTTACTCTGCTTTGTTCTCCCCAGTGCTGGGTAATGGTGCTGAATGAGCAGTTGAAGCTACTTTGCTGTGGCAATTCTGCCCTGCAGGCAGAAGGAGCTGTGGCAAGTCCTAAGAGGCTGTCAGAACCCCTTTGAGTGGCTCACACTTGGAAACACTTTGACTTCAGTTAAGGGTGACTATATCAAAACGTAAAACCCACGCTAAGTGTGTGGCCCACTCAGGGTTTGGAAATGTGGTCTGGTGAGCTAGGATGCATGTTCCCTGCAGGTGTTTCCTGGTGTAGTGGCTGCTGGCTGCTACAGCCGGGAAGCTGGAGTTCTCCTTTTATTTAATTTCAGTTGATTTCATGTAGCCCTCTTTGGCTAGTGAATTGGAAGGCAAAGAAGCACATTGGAGGAAGCTGGAGGGCAGACCTCCCTCTGTGTGTGGATCTGTTCATCTCAGCCTCCCCTAAAGGCATGGCGTTGCTATTGCAGATGGTACTGAACTTGCTACTTCCCGAAGGCACTTCCTGTGCTCCTGGGAGCTTTCTTTTGCTGCTCTGGGTAGGGACCTGTTTGCTCATATACACAATTAAAAGAGAACTCCATGAGAAGAAAAAGATGAGAATTTGAAATACTCACAGTGGACACCTGTCTCTTCTAGAGCAGAACCATTAAGGCACAGCGTACTGAGGGCACTTCCTCTCAGTCAGGCACTGGCTGAGAGGTGCTTTTTACATGGACAGCTGTTTAACGCTTCCCAGGTCTTTTTGTTTTCTGCTTTTTGTCAACTTCGTATTTACATCTGTGAATTGTTTCCACTTGAGAAGCAGCAAGCAGCGATCAGTGTCCAACACCAGTATCTCTTTTCTGCGAGAAGCAGCAAGCAGTGATCAGTGTCCAACACCAGTATCTCTTTTCTGCCGTGTGTTTTGAAACCACATACTTCCTGAAGTAGAAGGGAAGGCTAGTGGCGGGAGCCAGGAGAGAGGTGCTGGGGGCTTGCAGTGTTACTTCCCTGTCTTTCCCACAGCCATCCTAGGGCAGACTTAAGTAGGTCAGGAACAGCCTTTGAGCCTGTAAACAACAGGGATGAGTGAAGGTTATGGAACAACGGAGAAAACAAAGGCAATGTGATTTTGAGTGCTTTGTGCTTTGAAGGAAAGACTTTTCCTAATACTCCTGACTCTGTTCTCCCTGATTACATGACTTTCTCCAGTTGGTACTTTGCAGCCTTGGGTAGAGGACCACTGCTGGGGTGTGGAAACCAGAGGAGACTTGTCTAGAGACTTGAAGGGGTCAGAGGCTAGCAGACGCTGTTCTGGGTCCTGGCTGCAAGGTAGCAGCATAGTTAAAAAGCTCAGTGTGCTGTGGTCTAGATGTGTCCCCCAGTCTCATCTGTTGAGACTTAATCCTCCACCAGATGATCTTAGGAGGTGGGGCCTTTTGGAGGGGATTAGGTCCTGAGGGTAGAGCCTCATGGATGGCATTGTCACCCTCATAAAGGAGGGGCTCAAGAGCCATTCCCTCTTGGGCTGTGTGAGGATGCAGCCATGAGGCACCACCTTAGAAGTAGACATAGGCCCTTCCCACACACCGGATCTGCCAACACCTTGACATTTTGAGAGGTGGGTCCTTATTTATAAAATCACCCATTTCCAAGGCCTTTTGTTATGGCAGCAGGTATGGACTGAGACAGCGTTTACTGAGGGGGTAGTGGAACAGAAGTTGCATTCCCTGCCCAAGTAGGCTGGACCTCATCCTGGGGCACACACACAGCCCCTACTGTTTTACTCTGTTTTCCTGATTCCTGGTTTTAGTGGTGTGCATCCTCTAGGTGGGTGGTCAGCCCAGCCTCCTGCTTAATAGATGACACTGGATTGTGGACCCAGGATTGTACCCACTGTTACTGTTGTTGGCACTGGTTTTGGGGCTCTGATGGTGGGAACCTCCAACAACTCTGACTCCAATCTTTGTGAGAACCTGTGTTTCTCTCTTGGAGCTTTTAGTAGCTGTGTTTCTAGGGTCCTGATTTGGGGTGTTTGTGTTTCTCTTGGGTCTGTTTTCACCCACCATGCAACACTTGGGGCACTTTCCGTCTGACTCTGTTCTCCCTGATTCCATGACTTTCTCCAGTTGGCATGCAGCATGTGTCTTTTAACTTTTCTGCTGTTTTGAAGATTTCTTGATTCATTTGTGCTTACCTGTCTTTGTTTCCATGTCTGGAACTTTTATCCTGATGTGTCAAGGCTTACTCTGGTCTTCTAATTTTCTTTGCCTTTCCTACTAATCTGGAAGATTTTTAGAATTTCACTTTCCAGTTTCCTGTTGACTTTTTCAATTCTCCTGTCAATATTTTATTGCTAGATTGCTTTTTAATTTTTGTTTTGAATGTTCTTAATAGAATCCTTTCCTTTTTTTCATGGTTGCAGTATCTTTTTTTTGTTATTTTTATTTCTGAATTAATTAGACATCTTTCAAAGACTTTTCTGCTCTCTGGAGAGTAACTGTCACTTCTTTTTTGTTTTTATTATTCTCATTTTTTTCTCTCTCTCTTTTTTTTATTTTCCCAAAATCTCTTGTTGGTTGTTGCATGTCTTCTTATGGTTAAGGCATGCATGCTAAGTGCCCCTTGTAACTAAGGCACACATGCTAAGAACACAGGGGGAGGGACTGACACTGGTCCAGCCTAGCTGATTCTCATGGTGTTGAGGAGTCCCTAGCATTGATATCTTTGGGTCACTTTTTCTGGCTGGAGTCCTCAGAGAGCAGGATATGATCCTTCCTGTCATTGTGCTGGTGGGCAGAGACTGTTTAGGGTGCAGGGAGGGCATGTGGTGTCCTGCTTGCAGAAGCACCCTAAGGTCTGGATAGACAGGTGGGGTTCAGCTTGTTGGGTCTGCTCAGCATTGCACTGCTCACTGCGTCTCTGCTTCCACAGCAGGTTCTAGCAAGTTTCTGCCTTTAGCCATGAGCTGTCACTATGCGTGGCCTTGATTGGGAAGGAGGGGCACTAACAGGTGTATCTGTCTTCAGTCTCTGCAGCCTGAAGTGAAAGGTGCCTCTTGGGCTTTTTCTTGTGCCAGCCTTCATGCTGCTTCCTAGGAAACTTTACAAACAGATAACCACATTTGGTAACTCTCCTCTTTTTATGCAAAATTAAAGGCTTTGTGATATCAAATTTTCCCACTGCCTGAAGAACTTGGGCTTTGTCTGGTGTGCCAGCCTGACAGTCTAGAGCTGTAGGAGGGAGCCTGAGAGTGGAGTTTTTTTTTTTTTGTGTGTGGCAGACCCTCCTGCTTGCTCAGTTGGAGGTAGGAACAGATGGGTCTGGGATTTGTGATCCTGCCTAAACCCATGGGTCACCTGTCACTCAACCCCTTTCCTGTCTGTAGCACTGACGCTGTCTCCTGTGTCTCCAGGTCACCCGAGGCCCAGCAGAGAGTTGGTGGCTGCTTTCTGAACCTGATGCCACAAATGAGGACCCTGTACCTTGCCTACTGTGCCAACCACCCATCTGCCGTGAGCGTCCTTACAGAGCACAGGTCTGTTCACTGAGATGTCAGAGCAAAAGGAAGACCAGCAGCTCTGTGCTCCCAGATAGACTGTGATACGCAGGGTGATTTCATTTTAATTGCTTCTCAAAATGAGTGCTCGAGAAACTTTAAAATGGTACTTGGTGTTTATAAAAGAAGAGGGTCCTTTTGAAGTCACCCTTCAGCCTAACCCATTTGGGTGGTGGGTTGGAGGAGCTGGGAAGCACTGGGGCTTTGTCCATCAGCCAAGTCAAGGCTGAGGGACTCTGAGTGCTCCTGGGTTGCAAAGCTGAAGGATGGAGGCTGTATGAGGAGAGTCCCATTTCAAACGAGGACTTGATTGCGCAGATAGAGCAGTGCATTAGAGACCTTTACCTTGAGCCTTTCAGACTGTAACAACATTAAAACATGTAAAACAGAACATGTAAATTTTCTCAAAAGGATGAGGCATGTCTGTTTCCTGTTACTGGGTAGAGGAAGCCGGGTAGCTGTCCCAATGACTGAGGAGCAACCCGGCTCCAGTGACTGCTGAGCGCTAGTGATGGCTTTGTGCTGGATGACCATGTGGTTGACCGGAGGGCAGAGATTTGGTTTCTATTTCTCAGAGAAGCACAGTATTTTTATTAATGTTTTAGAGGTGATTTCATGGTTTCTTTCAAAATTGGCAATTCAGAAGTTTTTCAAAACTGTAATTGGAAAAGAAAAATTCAGTAGCATCAAGAGAAATGCCATTGTGCTTCTAATTTCCAAATTTAACCTCGGCTTATTCTTAACATTTCCTTTTAAAACACAGCAAGCAGCTTTGATGTGCTGGCCTTGCTTGTCTGCTCGGCTTGCTGTGGAGGCTGCAGTGTCTGGAGAGTCCCGTGGGAGCCGCCTGCTGCTGCCTGCAGGCCCAGGGCCTGTGTCTCTTGACTTTAGCTCCCTTTCCCTGGAAATCCTGCTCCCAGGGCTGTAGTCAGCTTTGAGATGGTCTGTATGTACAGACTGGTCAGATTGGAGCGAACGTGATAAAGGCGCATTGTTTTGTTGTCCGCTAAAAGAAGTAAAGTGATCTGGGCCACCTGTGCTCAATGCAAAAGGATTAGTTGTTCAGATTCCCATTGGTGTTGTCCTGAAGTGAAGCAGCAGCCTTTGACAGTGTGAGGAAGGGGGCGAGGGGCTCGAATGCTCAGCAGCTGTGGGAAAGGGAGAGCTGAGAGACCCATCCTTGCCGTGGGCAGAGGCCATGTTAGCCACACACTGTCCTAAATGTGCAAAGTGTGTATTCAAATACGTGCTGTACCATCAACTTCAGGAAATTACAAATTAAATGAAATTTCCATAAAAGTGAAAAGCAAGTATTAGGTTTGTATGAATGAAAATGCTTCAGAAGTTATTGATGCAGTGATGGGAAGAGGTCCACAAAAAGCAAGTGGAGTGTTACAGAAAATTCTAAGATCTTTTCTGTGTATCCCCCGGCCTCTTCTTTGGAGAGAGGCTCTCCTGTAGAGAAGGTTGAGAGCTTAGAAAGGGGCGGGTGCACAGTCCTGGCAAAGACTTGTAAGGGTTTTTCCTGTAGAAACAAGGGTGTGTGGAGCAGCTGAGACTTGGGGTATCTTGAAGTGTAACCCTTTCCGGAGAAGTGCTCACGGGAGTGCTGTGTCTACCCTCTTGTATGCTGTTACCTCAGTGACTCTGTTGTGTCTGAAAGGCGAACACAGCATTTTTCAGAATGTACTTAGAGGAAGGAGTACAGATAAGGTTGTGAGCAAGAGCCTCCTGGCCTGCTGCATGTGGCTGGCATGCCGAGCATGGAGTGGGAGTCTAGGGTCGCGTGCTGGACGGCAGCCCTGCAGCGGGTGGCTCCCAGGGGCTAAGCCAGAGAGGAGAGTCCCTCAGAGCCAGCAGGTGCTGGCAGCCACAGCAGTGCACAGTGCCCGTGTTCCTTCCTGCCTCCCCTGAGCCCAGAAAGTTCCCCCTTTGTCTGCCATAGATTATGCCCTGCTCCAAAGTGCACTTGCGTCCGTTGAGATGGCGAGTGCTCACGCCTGACAGCTGCTTTCAGCACTCCTGTTGTTATGCTCAGAGTCTGAATGGGCAGCTCTTCCGTCTGTCCTTCAGTGTGAGTGCCTGTGAGCTACCACACCGCGGGGTTTCCCATCTGGTCTTAGGCTTGAGCCTAGGTTTTGAGGACTGGTGTGAGTGTAGTGCGTAGAAGCTGACAGTCTTACCTGTGCACGGGTTGCAGCACGTGTGGGAACCTGCTTCCACCCCCCACCCCCCCCTGCAGACAGTTGCACCCACAGCCCCCAGTCTTTGGGTTGTTTTTCTGGCAAACACATGCTGTTTCCAGTTCTGCAGAGTTCCAATGCCTTCCCATTACCATGGGACTGCAGATGCTTACCTTCATCAATGGCTCTGTAAAACAAAAAGGCTTCCCCTCAGCTGTTTGCTCCTCTTTGCTTGGCCACATAGTTCTTTTTACCTTGTTCCCTTGTTGCCATGGTGTCATTCCAGTAGGTGCAGAGGAGGGAGACTGTGGCTGCTGGCAGCAGTAGGAATGGTGCTGAAAGAGCCGTTGTTTTATCCCACAGCTGTAACCACCTACTTTGTTATAGTACTAAAAACCCTATAGAACGGAGCGTGATCCATGAAGGCTTATACTGTTTTCTTTCCTTTGGGGGATGTGTACACATGTTCTGGAATCATAAGAATGTTGTGTGGATATTACAAGAAGCTACTTTTGCTTGTTAAAATTTCACTTCATGTTTTTAGTTTCAGGGGAGTTTTGAGGGAGGTGATGAGCATAACTTGTTCAGTTTTGTTTATTTTTCTGCCATGACTATACGAAATTTGACTTTTGCTTCCTATCTTGATGGAAAAGACCCGGTATAGATTATGTTTAAAGGAATTGAAATACGATTTTAATATCATAAAGACTGATCTTTAAGTGTGTGTTCATTTTAGAGAAATGTTGGTAAAATAGAAATTTCTCCCACTTTACTCCTGCTTTCGGGAATGGCAGAATGAGTGATTTCAGGAGACCAGCTTTTCTCAGTAAGACTCTGGGGGCTGCAAGGGTGAGCAGCAGTGGTGGGGGTCTGGCTCAGCTAGCAGCAACAGCCTGGGCAGTGCACCGCGCCAGCAAAAGCATGTGCTCCTGGGTGTCTGGGCTTCCATTCTTGCCCTGGTCCTGAGGGTCTGCTGGCAGCAGTGCCCTCAGTGTGGAAGGTTGACACCAGGGTGGCAGAGGGCCTCTGGTTACCATGGCAGTGTGGCTGTGTACCCAGGGCCTTGCTTGCTGCTCTGGCTTCTGCAGCAGCATGCCTCTGGATGCACAGTGTGGTGCTGTCCAGTGGGGCCCGCATACTTCACTGAACTTTCAGTTAATCCAGCCCTGCAGTTTCCCTGAGAAGATGGTGTCTAGAGAGCACAAAACCAGACACAAAGAGGTTGAGATGCTGCCTGTGAAAAGGTTTTTTGTCACATACTCCTAGAAGTAGTTGAATAATTTTGTCACACACTCCTAGAAGTAGTTGAATAGTTTCTCTGCTGATAATTTTTTTAAAATTGTATCATCATGACAGACTCTTTCTAACAGGAGTAAAATAATTACCAAGCCTCTTCTATATATAGAATTGAGGGAATGTGCATTATGCCTGTTAATTTGTTATAACTGGGATTATGTAAAGTTTCCCTTTTTTATGGTTTGCTTTGATTTTGGTGTCAAATGTGTGATTTATGTATATGTGTAGGAGTTCTGTGCATCACCCTGGTCTCCCAGGATGTGACATGGTATCTGAGGTGTGGGTACTACCTTTGTCTCCTGGGACTTGGCATGACTGGGTGGGAGGTTACCCTGGTCTCCTGGAACATGACATGGTGGCTGGGGTAACACCCCAGCCTCTAGGGACTTGGTACGATGACAGGGAGGGGATATGTCATCCTGGTCTCCCTTAACTCTTGCCTCCCTTTCTCACCTACAGCTGTGGGGCTCCTGATGTCTGGATGATGCATACACAGTGAGGGATAGCCTCCTTGAGCCCTAGCAGGCACCTTATAGGTCACCTGTTCTGTGTCGGCAGTCATAGGTGTTGGTGACTACAGTCCCCACAGTGCCTGCTCATTGATTTCTGTTGAACTTGGAGCAGGGACAGTGGCTGTAGACACGAATGGCTTGGGAGAACTAGTCACAGAAAATGTTAGGTGAATGTAGTAAAGGGACGGTGGCAGAAGAATAGGAAGGTGTTTCAGACTTCTTTTAGGTTTCTAATTTATGGGCATGTCCTTGGTTTTTCCATCTCCCTCTATGCTGAGGGTGAAATGTGGTGACAGCGTGATGTGCTGCTTCTGCTTCAGAGCCCACGGACCTGGTCTTTTTTGTGGAGCTGCGGTGCACGCCCGCAGGTGGGAGGTGCACCTCTGCAGAAGGCAGTGAAAAGGCATTTGGTGCGTGGCACTGGGCCGCTTGAGGTGCAGGTGGCCCTTGCGTAGCTCACCTGGTTCAGGAGTGTCTTTCCCTTGAGCAGCTTGATGGCAATTCTTGCTATCTTGACTCTGAGATGCTTGGAATCCATTGCAGCTCTAAGAGCGTGAACTTCCATTTGGACAGGTCTGCATGTTGTGACATACTGGGGGACCTTTTTGCGAATGGAATTGCATGTATTCTGTGGGAGAGGAACCTTTTTGGAGTTCCCTTTGGTGTCTTGAGATAAACAGCACAGGTTTGTTTGTAAAAACTGCAACGTTCATAAACACTGGCCCTCACTAACAGAAACCTTGCCATATTGTCTTTGGCCCTAACCCCAAGCATCTTCTCTTTTCCACCATGCCCCTGTTGCCAGCGAGGACCTGGGGGAGTTCATGGAGACAAAAGGTGCCAGCAGCCCTGGGATCCTGGTGCTGACCACTGGCCTCAGCAAACCATTCATGCGCCTGGACAAATACCCCACGCTGCTCAAGGAGCTGGAGAGACACATGGAGGTGCTGCCTCCCTGCCAACCCTGAGTCCTTGAGCAAGGAGGGATGACATGGGTCAGACTGCTATCAGGGACAGTATCATTAGTGATTCACTTTAGAAGCCAGGACCAACACAGAGTTTAGAATCTGTGACTTAGTGGATTTTCAAAATGACTTTGTTAAATATGAAGTTTTTCTCCTTATTCTTGTTCTGTAAGAAAGCATTTGCTGCTTTGCCTTCTTGCTCTCTCATCGACCACTGCTGATAGGACAGTTTCCAAAAGCTAGAAAATGGGGGCTGGGTTTGTAGCTCAGTGGTGGAGCCCTTGCCTAGCATGTGAGAGGCACTGGGTTCGATCCTCAGCACCATATAAAATAAATAAGTAAAGGTATTGTGACCATTTACAACTAAAATATATTATTTTTTAAAAAACACTAGAAAATGTGAACTCATTTCCAAATGGTATTTTGATTAACAAGTTGCAGACCTGACAAATTCAGGTTTCAGGTATTCTCTGGGCTTGGGCAGGCAACCTGTCTGTAGCCAGATGGTTCATCAGGCCTGCTCATGCCTCCCCTTCAGTTGCTGAGCATGGCTTGGCCACTCTGCAGCTGAGAATCAGAGATGCCCTGCAAATAGAGGTGGTCGAGTTCAGCAAAGCTGCATTTACAGAAGATGTTTGCTGACCATTGCTCAGGCTATTCCCCTGAACCCACTGACTCCATGATGCCCTTAAAGAATAGGATTGCCACTGTGATGCTAAGAAGAAAACTGCTTGTTGAGGACAAAGATTTGGAAAGGTTTTAGGCCAAGCTACAGAGAGAGGCCTTTTAAGAAAAGCTTTTGTGAAAGCTAATAGCATGTTTCTTTATCTAAAGGATTATCATCCTGATAGACAAGACATTCAGAGATCCATGACTGCCTTCAAAACCCTTGCGGTGAGTATAGTGGACGAATGGGACCTGGGAGCAAGAAGGGAGGGAGGGAAAAGAGACCACTGGGGAATGATATTGGCCAGATTATATTGCTGTGACGTTTGCATGTACGAATATGTTAACAGTGAATCTACCATTATATACAATTATAGTGTACCCACAAAATATATGTGGAATGACCCTTGCAATAAGTGGGCAAGCACACCATGGTTTCTTCCACAGACAGGTGATGGCAAATGAATGTAGAATCGGCAGCTGAAAAGGTCAGATGCAAAGACATTGCTTGTGACGAACTAAGAACTAAGACAGCATTCCATGGCTAGGAAATTCTCTTGCATTAGAATATTGTGGGCACCAGAAAGATGAAGTGATGATTTCTCCCTTTTGAAGAGGCATAGCATAATTAATGCTGCATTTCCAAACCTCCATGCACAGGCTCTTTAGTGGTGTTCTGGGGAGTGTAGTGCTGGGGTTCTGTCTCTTCTCTTGTCATGTTGTTCCAGCTGTGTTTTAAGTTGTCCTTTATATATAGTGCAAATTGTTCTCACCCTTTTTCCTCTTATCAGTCTTCTTTGTTGGCAGACACTAATAAAGCCAGAAGAAAAATATTTGTCTTGTCCACTGCATATATATATATATATATATATATATATATATATATATATGTTTTGTAGATGGGCACAGTGCCTTTATTTATTTTTATGTGGTGCTGAGGATTGAACCCAGTGCCTCCCACATTCTACGCAAGTGCTCTACCACTGGGCTATAGCCGCAGCCCCCCACTCTGTATTTCTACTTCCTAAAAGTGGCAAAAATCTGCCATTTTCCTAATAGTATTTGGTACTCAGAGGAGTTGTGTGCTTTGCTTCTTTTGATTATATACTTTTAAAACTTGTTATTCCAGACAGTAAAGCAAATTGTTCCATAGATTTGTCTTTCTTAAGAAGTAAGATACAGGGGATGGGACCATAGCTTATTGGTAGAGCACTTGCCTTCCACATGTGAGGCATTGAGTTCGATCCTCAGCACCACATAAAAATAAATAAAGATATTGTGTCTATCTACAACTAAAAAATAAAGAAGTCAGACACAAAACGATAATTGTTTTAAGAAGTAATATAGCCAAACCTTAAGATTCTGGAGGCTTCTGTCTCTTTGAACAGTGCCGTTCTGTGTCTTGCAGGCCCAGTGTCAAGAAGTACGAAAAAGGAAAGAGCTTGAGTTGCAGATCCTGACGGAAGCCATCCGAAGCTGGGAGGGAGATGACATCAAGACCCTGGGCAATGTCATTTACATGTCCCAGGTCATGATCCAGTGTGCAGGAAGTGAGGTACTGAAGTGCATGGGCACCACTGTGGCCTCTACCCACATGATAGAGCATTTTGAAGAGATGTCAAGCCAGAACAGATTGTAATTGTGCTCTACTTTCTATATCAACAGAAACAAGAGAGGCTTGTGGCATAATAGAGGGCTATTGACCAGTTTAGATCTGCAGGATCCACTTATCCAGACCTGTGAACTGGAAGCAGGACTACAGGTTTCCAGGGTGTGCAAACAGCTGCCCTGGGGTCCTGTGCACTGGCCCAGCCAGGGGCTTCCCTCTCAGGAATCTGTGGTTGTGGATGGCTTAGGCCCTTACATTTTTCTCTTAATGTGTTCTAATTGGTGTTCACTTAGGGGAGTAAAAACCATTTTCTTAAGAGTTTGTTAAGTGAGAAATCAAACCAGATACTTGTGCTGTGTCCACTTAGTGCAAGTGAAGCAGGTGGGTGACTTACAGGTTCTTGGGTCACTAAGCAGGTGTCTCTTATGGTTTGATTCTACCTTTGCAAATATAAGCAACACGTGCTGATGCCCATTGTCAAACATGAAACTTGTGATGGTTAGATAACTGAATTTGGTGTGCACTGTTGATCCCTTCTTAACCTGACTTTTTAAATTTACCTGCAGACAAGATCCTTTAGTCCGCGTGCCATAATGAATTTCCTTATTTACCACAATGATCAAAACACCTAGACCTGTCTAGAAGTGGTTTGCTTTTTACTCACATGAAGTGAACTTTATTTAAGATACCCAGGGGAAGCACGTCTAAGAGCATGTTCTTTAGTACACTAGATGGCCACAGCCTTGGTGAGTGTTGCTCTAAGAATGACCTAGGCTATCCGGGCCACAGTCTGAGGGATGCTTCCCAGGTGCACCATGGGTCTTCATGGGGGGAGGGTGATGGTCGCTTCCAGAGGAGTCTTACACACACAGCCTCTCTCTTTGGAGGTGCTTTGAGGTGTGTTGAGTGGCCATGTGTTCTGGAGAAGGCACCTGGGAAACTGCTTTCTAGTGTTGGCCTCACATCTTGGGGCCATCTGGCCTTTCCATTTCTGTTTCCTTTGAGATTCCTGGCCTTGGTTACCTTATTGAAGCAAAGAATTTTTAGTGCACAGGTCATACTATTTTAAGTCATTTGTGTAACTAGAGAACGTTTATGAAGTGGATGAAGCACATATAGCTCTCAAAATGCGAGGAAACAATGATAGAATTTGTTTTAACATTTTGTCCAATCCTTCCTTAACCTCAAAGAATCCACTGGTTCTGCCTTGCCCCACTAAAATTTTATAAATTCTCTTTCTCTAAACCATGAAAAGAAAATTGTAGATGAACTAGAAATAGCTAATGGCAGAGCAGAACTCCTTCACTATTTAGTTTTCAAAGATGCTTCACAGGTGTTGTGAACCCAGGATTAGTTTATTTTCTTTTTGTATTGAATAGTTTAGCAATCCAGGGTCTTCACCTGTGTGTTCAAACTCTCTCATATATTAAGGGTTAACATAGAATTGATCATAATTTTGTTTCCATTTCATTTATTTAATGCATTTTGTTAGGAATATATAAACAAGAAATATAGTGTAGTGTTTCCTAGGGCCTTAAAGTATTGTGTTCACATTTGTAAATAGATGTGTTTTTAAAATTATTTGGATTTGTTTGTTTTTTTATATTAGGAAAAGAATGAAAGATACCTTCTGCTCTTCCCAAACCTTTTGCTAATGTTGTCTGGCAGTCCCAGGATGAGTGGTTTCATCTATCAGGTAAAACACGTTTGGAATTCTGTTTTATTGTTTATGGTAGACCTGAGGATCCTTTCAGGCTGGCTCTGAACTTCAGCATGAAGCAGTCCCTGTTTCTGTATGTGCTGTGTCCTAGGCATGCTGTGCTGTGTGCATCCATTGCCTGTGTGTCAGTGTGACTCTTCAGATGTAGACCAGCATTTGTTCTGAGCAAACTGAAAGGAAGAAGTGTGTTGGTGGAGTGGCCTTGAAGCACACTGGTGCTGTGGTGCCATCCGTCTCCCTGGGTTTGCTTTCTGCTCTGTGGAACACAGGCTGGGCTGGGGCTGGGGCCTGTTGGGAGACATAGCACAGCACCCCCAGCTATATCAGCACAAGTGCTGTCATTGGACCTTTGTTCTTAATTGTTCCACGGGTTTTGTTTGAGAAAATGGGAGAGCTGATTGGAGATGGAATGTAAGGGGGCGGGGCTTTTGTCTGCTGCTGCTGCTGCTCTGATTTACAGTGGGGGTATTAAGTAGCTCCTGTGTATCTGAGAGATACCCTTGGCAGTTTTCAGTGATGACTTTCTGTGACAATGGAAGCTAATACTTCCACCTCTGTTTCCAGAAACTGGCCGGTTTCAAGATGTGCTAGCGAGGGAAGCTACATCTTTGTTTTCTCTGGGTGGCATTTCTTTGGTGTGTGTTTTGTTTTGTCCCAGTAAGGACTAGGGCGTCAAGGAGGTGTGGCACTTATTCCAGAGTTGGGTGAAGCCTGGTGCTGCTCTGGCCTTGGGGTGGGCCTTATCCCCTGACAAGGCTGCCTTGCTGTTGCATTGGTGTCTCACCAGCAGGGTCCCGCCTTCTTCTTTTTGACAGTTTCCCAGGGACATCCCTGTCCTGGGTGCAGGGAAGCCCCACTGCAGGAACACTGGCTTTGGGGCTGAGGTGCATGCTGCTGCTGTGGTGTGCCAGGCAAAACATGAATCTGCAGCTTCAATTTCATAGCATTTCTCACAGCTGTCAGCAGTCCTATGCCTAATGGGTCTGGGAAAGGAGCATGTCTTGTGTTTTCTGGATGGGCCTGGCCTTGGTGTCAGTCAGCTGCTGTCTTGGCTGCTGAGCTTCAGGACATAGCTCCTCAGCCTCACATCACTAACACTTTGGGTTGGATGATTGTTTACTTGGGAGGCGAGATAGGGGGACTGTCCTTGTGCTATAGGATGTGATTGCTTCTCTGGCCTCTGCCTACCTGATGTTGGGAGCATCTGCATGTTGTGGTACTACCACATGTCTGGGGACGTCCCTTGTGTGTTGTGGGAGCTCTGTGTCTGGGTGCTGGTGCAGTCCCGCTCCTCTGCTTACAGTGGCTCCATGCAGCTTGGCTTAGAATGACCCCAACTTCCCTAAAGGCTTAGTCCAGTTGTGTGGTCTGTGTGCCCAGGGCAAGCTGTGCATTTGGAATACCATGTGATAGGCATAAGCTGTAGTGTTGTCTGTTCCCTCCAGGGAAGCAGCCTGTCCCTTGAGTGTAGACCTTTGCTGCTGTGTTGTTTTGGAGGGTGACATTTGGGGCTAGCTCTGCTTTGTGTATGGGCATCAGCCTGGCCCCATTGTGTGTCTCCAGCTGACGTTCCCTGCTCAGATCCCTCAGGGTGGCTGCCTGCCCTGCAGTGCTTTAGCACAGCCCCTTTGCTGTGGGCAGACTGCGTTGTAACTGGTAAGGCAGCCCGCGTTGTAACTGGTAAGGCAGCCCGTATGCCTGACCCATCTCCCACCCTGTCTCTGCCTTCATGTGTTGAGCTTACTCCCTTCTGTGTCCTTTGAAACAGCTGTGATACACGTTAGTTTTGTTATAGTAGGTAACGTTTTTATGTCCTGGTGTTTGTTTAGAGTAATTGAGCAGATGAAAATTTTCTTTGTTTTTTGAACTTTAGCTTTTTGAACATTCATCGTTTTGTAGGCTGATTCCTTACCTGAGAGTTTTCTTTATATTATGCATGCACTGTCACAAGCAGCATGACACCATTGCCACCTCCAAAGTCATTTAATATTTATTTTAATAACAGAACTTCTTTACTAGAAAGGCACTAATTGCATTTTTTTTGTGGGGGGGTCTTTTTTAGGGAAAGCTACCAACGACAGGAATGACAATCACAAAGCTTGAGGACAGTGAAAATCATAGGAATGCGTTTGAAATATCAGGTGATAGGCACAAGCCGTGTGTGTGCTGTCTGTCCCCGCCAGGGAGGCAGCCTGTCTCTTGAGCGCAGACCTTGCTGATGCATTTTGGAGGGTGACGTTTAAGCATTGCTGAGTCGTGTTCTGGGCATGTGCGTGTATGTGCTTCCTGCCCGAGTTTCCACTTCAGCCTGTTTCCCTCCTTTCCAGGGAGCATGATCGAGCGGATACTGGTGTCCTGCAACAACCAGCAGGACCTGCAGGAATGGGTGGACCATCTGCAGAAGCAGACGAAGGTCACATCTGCGGGCAACCCCACCATCAAGCCCCACTCCGTGCCATCTCACACTGTAAGGGCTCCCGAGATCTCCTCCTCCCAGCTTCAAGTGGTGATGGCCTGTGGTGGGGCTGGCACTGGGTGCTCTTGTGTCTCAGCCCTCTGTCAGGCATTCTCATGAGTTGGTTGACATTTGTGGGGCATGTGGCCTTTGCTCTGAATGGCCCCAAAAGACGGACTGGAGAGAGTGTTGCTTCTAAAATCCCCAGAAAGCACTGTCCATGGATGAGAAATTTTAGCTGTGTGTGTTATGTTTGTTTAAAAAAAAACAACAAAAAACACAGTAAATTACGGTAATGACGAGAAGGGCCAGATTCATGTTGAAGGCATAAAATATGGTTTTTGAGTCACTGTTTTGATTTTAAGAAATTTATTTTTCACTTTAAAAAGTTTAGCAGCTCTTTAGAGAGAACTTATCAAAATGAATGAACACCAAAGTTTCAGTGTTTAAACCTCTCTGTACTGGTGTTTAGTAATAAATTGATGTCAAATAAACACTTATCATCTTTATCAAATAGTATTGAAAAACTGGGCAGATCTTTGAAAGAATGAATTAGGATTACACAGCACTTTGAATTTGTGTTTTCTCACATCTTCATAGGGGGGGCAGGTTGGGATAGTTTTACCAGTGGTTCATTTCTCCTTTAGTGGTTCACCACTTTAAGCATCTCTGGGCCTCCCGCAACGCAGCCTGAGTCTTATTCTCATTTAGCATCAAGCACCATCTTCTGAGTTTCCAACTGGAGGGGAATGAACCAAACATTACCTGCTGTGGCATTATTGCCAGAAGGGGTGTTCAAAATAATGTCATCCGGCTGTGCCGGTCAGCTGATTTTTTTTTATAGTTCCACCCCCCTCACAGGGGCCAACTTTGGAGAGTACAGGAGGCTCGCACTCCCAGGCATGGAGCCTTCCCCTTTTGCCTGTGTTCCCATGTCATGAATATATTCAGAGAGTGGCCCCCAGGTTGCCGCTCCTCCTAGCTGCCTGTGCTGCCTGTTGGCTGACTTGAGGCTGCTGGCTCCTGCTGTGTGCCACTTACTTTATTCAGCATTTTCTGATTTCACTGTCAGTGTGATGGAATGGAGGCGGAGGGGTGTTCCAGGAATATGAACCTTATTAATGACACACCCTTATAAAAATCAGATTTTGAATAGCTTGTTTTCACTATGGCTAAGTTTTTCAGGAAAAGTTGTATTTTGTTTTATCCTGGATATTGGCAATTTTCTATCAAGGCCCAGGTTCTAGCTCTTTGGGGCTTTATAGACCTTTGTTGCAACTCAGCTTTGCCCTTTTAACATGAAAGCGGTCACAGACAGGACTGGACCTGCTTGCTGTGTCAGGAGATGTTTCTCTCCTTCCTTTCCCTCTCCCTCAGCACAGTATCCAGGCCCTAGTGGACAGGGCAGATTGTCCCTCCCTAGCAGGCACTGGGCTAGTTGTGCAAGGATCACCAGGAAGTGAATCACGTGACTAGGGAGCGTGTCCTCCCCCTGTTGTCACATTCCAGTATAGGCAATGCCAGATCTCTTAGGAAATTCTGACGCTCCTGCAGAGTGATGAACCTTTTCCTAAATGTGGGAGGCCGGGCTTGAGTCCATGGTGCAGAACTGCTTTCTTCCAACAACAGTAAGGTGTTCCTGTAGCAGACAGTGCCTGCAACCCTTTGCCCAGCCCAGAAATGGACCACTAGGCTTGTTTCCTACCTCTAAGGAGCAGAGTGAGATGCACATGCTCAGTCCTTTACGGGACTCTGCTGGTCTCATGCTCTCTCTGCTCTTCTCACTTTTGTCCCTGGCAGCTCCCCTCGCATCCCGTCACCCCATCCAGCAAGCATGCAGACAGCAAGCCCATGGCTCTGACACCTGCCTACCACACGCTCCCCCACCCCTCCCACCATGGTGCCCCGCACACCACCATCAGCTGGGGGCCCCTGGAGCCTCCAAAGACCCCCAAGCCCTGGAGTCTGAGCTGCCTGCGGCCCGCGCCCCCTCTCCGGCCCTCAGCTGCACTCTGCTACAAGGAGGTAAGGTCCTTTGGCCGCTCACACAATAGCCAGTCTGTCTGTGTGAGTTTCTTGTTCTGTACTTCATTCCAGTTTTTGTTTCAATGAATTCAGAAATGAAAATTCATGTTTCTGTGACATAAAAAAATGCAAATTAGTTTCATGAGAGCTGTGAAGTAGAGTCACCTTGGTTCTCTTACCATTCCCTTCAACTGTTAGGGTCTCAGGAGACATGGGGGATGGGTGTACTCACTTGCTTGGGTGTGCACCTATGGCAGGAGCTGGGGAGGGATAGGCCCCAAGCAGTCATGACTTTCGTGCCTTTGTGCTACACCTCTTAGCCCATTCTTTCAGTTTGAGATCCTATCCGTGAACCCTGGAGCAATTTCGGATGAAGAGAACATTTACAAATAAAAATGGAAACAGTCATGTCAGGCGATGCTCCTTGAACTTGTGAGGAGTTGTGGTGCAATCTGCAGTCTTCTTCATTCTGACTGGGTCTTGTTCCAAACGTGAGGTGCACCTCATGTCAGGTGCCATTCCTAGTAAGTCCATCTGCCCCTGCGCCTGCCCTGAGCAGGAGGGGAACACCTTGAGAGTGCATCCTGAGAAGTGCCTTCACCTGAGGACACTGGTTATTGATGTGCGCGTATGAGAAGAGTGTGAGTTTGTGAACAGAGAATGTGCATGCTTGTGAGTGTGCGTGTGATAAGGAGTCATGCATGAGTGTGTGAGGATAAGAGCAATTGTGTAAGTGTGAAAGAATAAGTATGTGCGAGAATGAATGTGCATGAATATGAGCACACTTATAAGTGTGCAAGATAAGTGGGCTTATGAGTTTGAGAATGAGAGTGGGCTTATAAGCATGTGTGGAAATGAGTGTGGGTGTGCAAGATGAGCGTGCTTGTGAATGTGAGAATGAAAGTGAGCTTGTGAGCATGTGAAAGTGAGTATTAGAGTGCAGTTGTGAGCACAAGTGTGGGTATAAATGCATAAGAACGAGTGTGCAAATGAGCATAGTTGTATGTGGTGATGTGCCACATCCTGGCCTGGAGCCTGCACATCCAGCCAGGGGCCACATCGCCAGGGTTGCTGGGGCAGACCCTTCTTCCATTCATGCCAGCGAAGCAGGAGTACTATCTGCGAAATTTCAGTCAGCCTTTACGTTGTTCTTAACTCATTAAGAGTCTTGCCGAGAGTCACCCCAGAGAGAAGTTTTAAATTGTGGGTAGCTGCATGAAGGATATTGATGTTCTTTGTTAGTGTTGTGGTATAAAGAAAAAGTGAGATAATGCAGGCAAGCACTGATGAGGTTTAATTACTGGAGACTGCTGGACGAAGGAGTAGAAGGGGTAAGGGAGGGTCACGGAAGCAAGCTTAAGCATGTTGGTTGTGATACGTCGCACTCCAATGACTTTTAGATGCCGGGAGAGAGAAGTGCGTTCATTCTCTGCTTACAGCTTGTTATTTCCAGTGCCTTAAAACCCTAGTGAGAAGTCGTCCCTAGGAACAGGAGCCCTGGAGTGCTGCCCATCAGGCCGCCTGGTGGGTGCAGGGTGCGGGCAGAGGTGCTGGATCCTGTTCCCTGAGCCCTGGAGTGCAGGTGCCTGCTGGGCAGGGCAGGGCAGGGCACTGACCTCTCCAGGGGTCTTGGCAACTTCTTCTGAGTCAGAGAAGCAGTGGAGCCCACGTTGGAAGTGGTTCTTCGGAAACTGATTCCTGGGGCACTGAGAAGACCTTGTACATGTTCATTTACACAGAGAAGATTTTGAAGTGGTAACGTCAGAAGTCAGGCTCTGTTCCCTTAGTGCTTTGAGTTGGGTTCTGTAGCATGTCTGCCCCGAGTGTGGGGCAGCCTTCTTCAGTATCTATGTCCAGCATGTGCTCAGCAGTTGAGGCGTCACCTGTCCCGTCACCTCCACTTAGTTTTCACCTCAGGATGAAGATGTGCCAAGTGGGCAGGGCTGGTGGTCCCTCCCAAGCAGGCATGGGACTGGCTGTGCGTGTGCCACAGCTGTGCCTGGGCCCAGGGCGGTGGGTGTGTGGCCTCTCCCTGGAGGCTTCAAGCACTTTGCTGCAGGAGCTGACTTGCCTCGGTTCCCTCACCTCTCCCTAGTCAGCTGTGCCAGGCAGGTCTGCTCCGTAGTGGCCAAGCCCAGCTCCCACCGCCTGCCCTTTCTCTCTTGCCAGTGGGGACCTCTGCCACTTGCCATCCCAGGACTGATAAGACCCAGGTAGCACAGGGGTCCCTGTTGGAGTTGAGGGGATCAGTGGTGAATGCTGAAGACACCTGTTGGTCTTTCACCACTGTTCCACAGCTGGCAAAGGCCAGTGAGAGTTGAGGGAAGTGTGTGTGGCTGCTTTGCCTTGGGGCACTGTCCTGACACCCAGGAGAGCTGGCAGGTTTTGGCATCTGTCAGTGTTTCCTGTCCTTTGTGTTTCCCAGGATCTTAGTAAGAGTCCCAAGACCATGAAAAAGCTGCTGCCGAAGCGCAAACCTGAACGGAAGCCTTCAGACGAGGAGTTCGCCTTGCGGAAAAGTGAGTCCCTGTACTGGGTGTGGGGGCTTAGCGTGCACGCTGGAGAAGCGGCTGGAGAAACAGTTATGGTCTTCCCATAACTGCAGGCAGCAGGGCCTACTCCTTGAGGTGGGACCAGCAGATGGGCAGGAAACATGGGTTAGGAGGCTGGGGGCAGGACTGTGCTGTAAATGGGGCCTTACCTGCTCTTATCCACTTGGCCCATGAAGCCTGACATGCTAGGATTCCTGGAGTTTCCTCTCCACCCAGTAGGGCTGTGGCCTGTTCTCTTCACATATCAGGATCACAGTCTTTGCTGTCTCTTCCTGGGGGACTCAGAGGTGAGCTTTCATAGGCTCCAGGGAGCTAGAAGCAGTCTCTGCCCTACCCTGGGGTCCTATACTGTGCTCACAGGGAAACTCACACTCAGGTGCTCAGGCCATAGCTTTGGGATTCATAAAGTTAGTCACTTGCTGAACCAGTGGGAAGTTTCCCTGCCCTGCTTCATGCTGGGTGAGATTTGCCCCATGGGACATACAGCAATGTCTGAAGACACTGTAGTTGTCACAGCTGGGTAAGGGCTACTACCCTCAATGGTAGACCAGGGGTATCACACAGCATCCACAGGGCACACAGACTCATCTTACCCAGCACATCAGGCCTGGTGACTGCTGCAGAGGAGCGCAGCAAGCATGCGGCCATCTAGGGGACTGTCCAGGGCTGAAGGAAAGCTCCTGGTGGGGACAGGGCATGATCATTCCACCCTGATGTCCCTCCCTGCAGGACAGAGCCCATTAGCCAGCAGGTGCCAGCAGGGGTCTTCCGCAGGCCTTGCAATTCTCGGGAGTCACTTTTCTTTTCACTGTACTCATTGGGACCCTTAAGGGGTTTATTTCCAAAAGAAGGCCCAAGGGAGAGATTTTTTACTCAGAACTTGAGGGTAGTTTTGGCATCACCAGGAAAGGTGCCAGCTTGGCCCAGCAGCTCTGATCCAGGTGCTAAGCAGCTTCTTCTCCATCCTTTGTGTGAGGCCATTTTAATGTGGGGGAAGCAGCTTCTTGAGCAGCTCCGATGTGATCGCCCTGTCCTCGTGTCCACGTGTCACCTGGTGTGGGTGGCTGTACTGCCTGCTCCTTGCCCTGGTGCACAGGTTCCAGTCCACCAGAGCAGTGTGTGCAGTCCTTGTGAGGTGTGCCTAAGGCTTGGCTGGGCCCACTGTGTCCTCCTGGCTGCCACTGCTTGCTGTGCAGGGGAGATGAGGCTGGGCTCCGGGATGTCTGGTGGCCCTCTCATAACAGGTATTTGCTCAGCACCTTCTGTGTGGAGCACACATCTGTGTCATGGGTGCCATAGACGCAGGTGCGCTCGTCAGTCACGGGCAGACGCTTAGCCCTGTCTGTGCTGTATGAGAGACACAGCTGTGAAAGAAGGAAACATCCCTGACCTCCTAGAGCTCAGGTTTTGCAGAAGACAGAGGAGAAACAAGACAAACTCTCAGCGCATGTCTGGGGAGTGCTCAGACTGGCCGGGGCTGGTGGGACGGCTTCCATGCAAGGGCAGTATCTGAGTAGAGGCATTGCAGTCTCTTCAGCCCTGGCTGCAGGTGCAAGAAGGGGCTGCCTGGGGAGTGAGGGACTGGTGATGCCAGAGCCCTTGAGGTGCCTCAGGCAGTGGGGTGCCTCAGGGTCCAGAGGCCTCGCCTATTGCATGAGAGCAAGCAGGCTGAAGCAAAAGTGGAGCCAGGTGCTGAGGGTGAGAGGGGATGGTAGTGGGCCCAGGTTGATGGAGACAGTAAAATGTGGGCAGATGTCCTGGGTGGGGGTGCTGAATGAAGGTAGGACCTATGGTAATGGTTCTCTGGGTGGGATTTGCCCCAGGGCACATTAAGCAATGTCTGAAGACATTCTAGTCCTTACAGCTGGGTGAGGGCTACTGTCCTCTGTGGTAGAGACAAAGCATCCTACAGACTCATCTTGTGCAGTGGATAAGCAGTGTGGAGGCTGGGAGTACAGGCCCACAGGCCTTGTATGTGAGGCCTGTGGTTTTCAGCATTGTGGCCTTGGGGTGCACTACAGGAGCCATGACGGACAGGGCAGGCACAGGGCTGGGCCAGCCAGGAGGATGTGGAGCATGAGGCTCTCAGGAGGTATCCAGGAGCAAGTATTAGCTGGATGGTGAACATATGATTCGATGTCCGGGGAAGGCCCAGACTGGGGTGAAGATGTGTTATTTCAAGCACAAGTTTGGGCCGATGGAGAGGAGAAGCAGTGGGGTATCCAAGTGCCCTGCCCTGCAGTCCTCGCATGTGAGGGTCAGGAGGACCTGTGAGACAGAGGACTAAAGGAAATTCTGTGTAAGTGGTCTCTGTGACAGTGCCACGTATCGCGGGTGCAGGTGAGCCTCGCTGCTTTAAGCCACTGTGATTTCATAAGTTGTTTCAGCCTTTATTGCATCCAGGATCCCAGCGTTGTTCTAGTCTGTGAAATGGCTCAGACCACACAGCAAGTGTGTGATTCCCCCCCGCCTTGGCTACTTGCATCTGCCCGCAGTGGCGAAGGTAGATCAGCATGGTGGTTTGTTGAAAGCCAGAGCTGTTTTCAGATTCCTGCCTCATTCTCTGCCTTCCTTTGTACTCAGCCATGTCTCACACGGGCAGTTGGTTACATCAGCTGGACTGATAGGGTCCCCACAAAGACACAGTCCTGCACCACCACAGGAAACAGCCTGCCTTTGGAAGTTCCCTGCAGGAGCCCTCGGTGGAAGTGGACTTCTCGCCTCTGAGGAAGTGGGTTGTTACAGGAGCCTGTCGGAAGATTGTTTCCAGTTAGTGAGATTTAGGCCTTTTCTTGGGAGCTCTTAAGTTCTTGCATTGTGAGTTATTGTCTAGTAATGAATATTGGGTTTGAATACTGGTATGAATTTTACTCTCTCAAAATGACATCGAGGCTTCATTGTTATACCACTATTAATACTTTAGCCTTCTGTTCTTTCCACATTTTCTATTAGAGTAGGTGAGCCTTTTAAAATAGGTACCCAAGTAGTATCTTAGGAAAGAAAGAAAACAGAAAAAGAGGAAGATAAAGAAAATAAGCCGCTTGCCCATATGTGTAACACCTCCTGGGTGCACGCTGATGTGAGAGCCTGTGCCCACTGCCACTGCCTCGGGCTTTAACCCTGTGTTCTTGTGCCTGCTCTCAGTGGAGACAGGGCCAGTGTCCAAGAGCCGGCTCAAGGAAGGGCTCTGCAAGGAGGCTGTGAGGAGCGCTGACCTGGCTTGTGAATTTTGTAGATTGACCTCTAAGGTAGGAATTTGTGTTAGAGGGAAGCTCCTTTGCAGGCCTGCATCAGATGCCTTTCGAGGTCACTGCCCACCTCTGCTGGTGTTGGTGTTGTCGGGTTGGTTTCGAGGATGTGAGCCCAGGCTCTTGTTGATGAGGTAGAATGGCTTTCCCTACTAACTGTGCTTTTGTGAGTTGCTGACTCTTTTCTCTTATCCTTTTTTAATTTGTGTGGGAGGGGCCTCCTTTTTTTAATGGCTTAGCAAGACAGCTAAGGATAGCAGCCCTTTGCTAGATAAATTACAGATAAAAATATTTAAAAAACTGAAAATCCTTTTTGAATATACACATTTGTAGATATTAAGAGAGCAGTTGCCTGACGAGAAAGTAAAAGGAGGGCTCTCTCACCTGCTGGTGTCAGCTGAGTTGATGCCTCTGAGCACACGCTGTCTGACCGCTTGTGGAGTGTGGCTGTGGGATGGGTGTCTGGGAGTGATGCCTCTGCATCTCTCTGCAGGCACGGCGGCTCTGGAAGAAGATGCTCAGATTCTGAAGGTCATCGAGGCTTACTGCACAAGCGCCAAGACACGGCAGACCCTCAACTCAAGTAAGTTTCACGGGAGCGCGCTGGGATGTGTGTTCTCGTCACGATCTAAACGTTGCTGCATGCCTGAGCTGTTCTGAGGGAGGGAAGGAGGGAGGTCTCAGAGACGTGTCAAGCAACACACAGGGAGCCTGAGTCCCTGAGCCATGTGAGCAGCATCTGAGCTTGAGCAGAGCAGCAGCGTGTGTTGTGGCCAGTGCTCTCCGTAGGGCGCCGCCAGCATCGCTAAGGCTTGCACCTAGCTGTGCTCAGACGGCAGTGGAAGGCTACTTGTTCAGCCTTCACATTGCTGCTGTAAGGTAGGGACTCGGCTTGTTTTTTTTAAGCTCTTCAGAATTGTTGTTCATGGTCCAAAATATAAACCTAGAGTGAGGCTTCTGTTAGCTTCCCTTTCTTTTTCTTATAAATATTTGGAAATAAGCACAAACTACCTTAATTTGGTTGATTGATCACCACAGAATTTGCCGTGTCTTATGTATAATGTTTAAGTAGAAACAGTTCAGTCTGTGGTGTGAACAGGGAGGAGGTGGCTTTTCACATCTCCCTGGCAGGGGTGAGGGCAGCGCAGTGTGGCGGCAGCTGGGCATCACTGCATGGCCCAGGGGGGCCTCTCCATCTCAGTGGGCCTCTTGGCCTGCTGCTCCTTATTTTGGGGGCTTTTCTTGGCCTTGGAGACCTGGGTGGTTGAGACATGACCTGGGCATAAAAGCTGGCTTCCCTTGGTGAGTTTGGGTTCTTCCGCCGTGGCTTTTGGCAGAGCATGTCCCTCCCGTCTTCATTCTCATGCCTGCAGGTGTGGCGTTTCAGCTTAGCGTGTGTCCTACTTAACTAATGCTGAAAACCGGAAACATGGGACAAGGACTTTGTAGCCGGTGCAGCTTTGTCAGAGGTGCCTGTGGCTGTGAACATAAGCTAGCCATCAGGGGCCAGGTAGATGTGTGTGGCCTCAACCTTTTTTACATTTCTAGTGTCTTCATTTAGATTTTTTTCTAGTGGTCAGCAATGTCCTTGTTCTGGTGAAGTCTACTCTCTGGTGAAGGTGCCTATTGTAGTGTCTGGTCGAGGGATGGGAAAGAAGTGGAAAGGCCTGGGTACTCCAGCAAACTAGAACACCTATGTGTGCAGTTAGGCAGTCATTTGTAAGTGTGGAGTATTGTGATTAAAGGTATTACATTTTCATAATTTGTTAGTGATTGTATTTTAGGTAGACTAGACTATAAAATGTTTATAAATTTATTGATTTCGAATTTGGGATTTTTAAAAAGTGGTCCTCTGAGTTTCAGTTACTTGAATAAAGTTTAACTTAGTAGTCTCAGCTGAAGGTCCTAGTCTCTCAGGGGTGTGTGTGCTTTGTGGGCCTCACAGGGCCACCTTATGGCTTCGCTGCTGCCAGGTATGCCAGAGGGATGACCTGCAGCTTCCACAGAGCCTTTCTTAGTGCAATGTCCATGTCACCGTGTCCACTCTTCCCATGCAAGAAAGCATTGGTCAGTAGTCTGATTTGCTTTTGGTTGATACTATGGGCAGAACTGCCTGGGACAGAGAGGATAATCAGCCAAGGCGTCGACCTCACACTGCCAGCACAGGTGGTGATGAGGCATGCATGTCTGTGCAGGAGGGCACCCTTCCTCACCAAGTGGAGATGGCTCACAGTGCAGCAGCTTTGGCATGTTAATGTGCAGTAACAACAGCTTTTAGAAGGAGTTTATTTTACCAGAATTCAGCTCAGTTCAGTGTGCATTTGGGTACCAACAGGACTTTAGAAACCAAGGATCTGAGTATTGATTTTTGCTCAAGGAAGTAGTGACCTGCACAGACTGTGGGGGCTTAGTTCACATGCAGTCTGCACAGAGGCTCCTTGCTGCTGTGGCTTCCAGTCCCCATCACAGCCCTGTCTCCCTGAGGGAGGCCCTTTGCAGCCCTGCATGCTCTCGTGCCCAGCTGCCTGCCAGGTTCACTGCTCTCTATCCCAGCCGTTCCCTGCCCACTGCCAATCTCCTCTTAGCATAGTAGCATCGCCTGTTCATGCCTGTCATCCTGATGGGGAAAGGCCTGCACCAGGTTGATAACATTGTGAATAAACTCGACCTCTGCTCTGGCAAGCCCCACAAGCAGTAGTGGAAGGGCCAGGCACCCTCTTAAATTCTTTTCTCCACTCTGAACCTTTTGCACTGATTGTAGGTTGATAAGGTAAGTTTAGACCCCTGCTGGTGATGTATAGCTTGCAGAGATCAAGAAGTAAGTCAAAACATGTTTGACATTATTTTGCATTTAATGCATTTGTTCACTGAATAGGCAGTAGTTTCAGCTACATAAATGGTACCTTTTATATATAATGTCCTGAGACCATTTGTTAATAGGAAGTAGTTAATTGTCAAGTGTTTATGGAATCATCATTTGGACATGGGCAAATCTGTAGAAAATTTTTTAGGTGAGTGCTTTATCTTAACAAAAGAGCAATTAGAGATAATATTGGATATAGGTTTATTAAAACAACTGATCTAGTGTTGTTCTGAGGGTTGTGCTAATAATTAATAAGTTCATTATTTAAAACCCAGCCATAAATAAGGAGAAATAAGCATTGTTGCCATTTTTTTAACAATATTTTCTCTTTTCCTTCTCTTCCCATCACCTTTTGCTTTTGTTTCATGTTTTGGTTGTGGCTCTTCCTGTCCGTCCTCCTCATCCCACCTCTGCCTGTCGCACCTGTCACTCCACCATCCCACCCCACCCCGTCTTAGCATGGCAAGGCACTGACCTGATGCATAATCACGTCTTGGCTGATGACGACCAATCAAGTCTAGACTCCTTGGGTCGTCGCAGTAGCCTTTCTCGTTTGGAGCCCTCAGACCTCTCGGAAGACTCTGAGTATGACAGTATATGGACAGCCCATAGTTACAGAATGGGTTCTGCATCTCGTAAGAGCTGTTGCTCATATATATCTCACCAGAACTAATGCACTTCTGAGCTTTTCTTAACCAATGCTTGTTGTATCGCAGCCTGCTTTTCTTAGATGTTTCTTGCTGTTTCTTGTCTCTTTTATGTGATATTTTAACAACTTTTGAGAGTGTTCCTGGTATTTTCCATTGTACCTCGTGGAGGCTTAATTGCCAATCTGAGTATGCATTCAAACTGCTGCCTGTTGAGGAAGATGGTGGGTTCACATGAGCCTGTACCAAGGGTGCTTTTCCCAATGGAGCATTGTTTTATACAAACTCAAAATGTTTTTTTTTTTTTTCTCCTTCTGTGTAGCGACTGTTTCATTTCTTTTTGGATACAGCTGTATGGACACTTTTGTATTTTATACCAGAACCACACAGGTTTGCGATCTTAAGTGCCAGCAACACAGAGGAGACTCTGGCCTTATGTAGGAACTTAGGTTTTTTTATGTGTAACATTTGACCAAGTAGCTGTGGCAAGGCACTGAGAGGAGCATCTGTAATGAGGCTCTGAGTGCGAGTGATGCGTGTCATGCTGCCGTGCAGTGCTGTGTGGCTCTGGTCCTGGCAGGTACACAGAAGGGCGGGTGTTGCATTTTTCAGAGCTGTCTTGACCCCCATAGCTCTGTGCCCTCATGTGTCCTGCATGTGGCGTTTGCGGGGAGCTCCTCTTTCCAAAGGCGAGCTCACAGTTGCAGTGCAGTCACTGATCATTACAGCACATCCCCTGCCTTGTTGGGACTGCAGCCATGGCACTGAAACGCTGAGCCGCTCTATTCAGAGCCCCAGCACTACAACTTTAGGTCCAAAGTCGGAAGGAAGCATCTCGCCCCTGCAGAGTAGGCTGTGCGCAGAGCGTGCAGGGTTGTACGCTTGGCTTCCATCACGGCGGCTGCCCCTGACATCCACGCTGCGCTGTCTGTGAGAGCCGCAAGCACACCCTTGCTTCCAGCAGCCACCTACAGTGAAACTCCGTTCACAGCCCTGCAGAATTAGCCCCACGCCTCACTGTGTGGGTCGGGGAAGGCACAAGGCTGCCATGTCCCTTGGAGAAAACCACCCTGCCTTCCTGGGATTGGTTGTAAGGAGTTTTCACTGGCCTCCCTTGGGCTGATGTCGCTTGAGAAAGACTGAATGTGGTGTGTTGCATTCAGTTGCAGCAGCACGCCCACGCCTGTTCATGGCTTTGGGGGCAGAACCGTCTTCTCCCTCACACGCTGTTTGGTGTTAAAATGGAACCTCTTGGTTGTATTTTACGTGTCCATTGGAACCAGCTTCAGAGACAGGATGCCATGGTGAATCGGAAATAACATTATTTCCTTTCTAGGGCGCTGGAGTTCCGGGTGGCAGTGGCGTCTCTCCACCACCCCTCGCCAGCCCGCATGCTCAGTGTTGTGCATTGTGCGCTCTGACACAGTGCCGAGCCTGGGAACTGGGCCCTGCTGCTTGCCCGCCAGCGGTGCTAGTGAACTCCTGGTGGGGCGTGCTGCTCAGCAAGCTGGGTGCCATGTCTGCCGGAGTGAGGCGAGGCACAGGGCCCTGGGGCACCAGTGTGTTCCCACAGCCACAGAGCTGTTCGCACCAACTGGAGATTTCATATTTTTATATCAATTAGTAAAATAAGAAAGTGGAGGAGCAGTCTTCTGAAATTAGCACCCAGTATTAATCTATAGTAGAGACGAGGTTTGCGTGTATTCAAATAGCAAGTGGAGATTTTTGACAAGTCTAATGCAAAGTTTTTATACTTACCTAATATCATGCAATGGATTTAGAAGCAATTTCGTTTTTATATCACACAGAGTAATGCTCTTTTTTGGAATTCACAGAATACCTGCTTTGGGACTGTGGTAACTAGCGCGGCAGCTTCGATGCCTTGGCTGCGCCTTCGTTGGTGCGGTTGCCAGTTAGTGCTGCGGGACCACAGTGAGGTGCAGCTGCCGCACTTGGACTTCCTTCAGCCCAAGTCTCATTTGGTTGTCATCAGTTTCTCTGCACCAAAGTTCTGATGCTTTGCCATCATTTCTTTTTGTATCAGTGAAAGCCACTTGATGATTTTTGTTGATGATGAGATCACTACAGAATAATAGTCTGGCTTTTTCTTTATTTGAATTCATTTCAAAATCTGACACCATTGGCTTTTTTTGACCTGGTTAGAAGTGTTAGTGCACAGGCCTGGAAGATGGTCTTCATGTAGCAGGTGACAGACATCCAAAGGCCAGCCTGTGTACTTCCGTGGGACGTCATTCGTGCTCACACTCGAACTTCAGGCTTCTGCAAGCCTGCCTTCTGATATGGTTGATTTCATGACAGAAGGTTGAAGGTTGGGCTAGGAGGCAGGTCTAGGCCAGCGTCAGACCTTCTACAGATGTTCCCATTGAACTAACATGCGCCAGAAGTATTTAATACGCTATCTAATTTTGTGTTTTGCCTAAAATTGCCAAAACACAGTAATGTGTATATAGTGGTATAAGATCTTGGACAAAAGCTATATATTGTGCTCTTTATCTGTGAATGGGAAAAGCCATTTTTAGTACATGACTGCCATTTGAAAATTCACTTGGATGTATATCTGAATGTTGCATTGTATTGTACAGTATGCATATTATTGTTTGTGGTTGCATATGGCAATGAAGTGTTTGTTTTATATTAAAAAAAAAGACATGTTATGTACAGTTGAAATAAATTTTGCATTTGCTAGCCCGTGGCTTTTAATATTTGTTCCGTGGGGGAGGGGAAGAGCACAGTTTGCCGCTGACACAGCAGGACTTTCCTCCCCAGCACAGCATCTCCAAGGCGGGCCAGGCCGCAGGCCTGGAGAGTCTGCCTCCGGAAAGGAGCTGCGGCTTTCTTAGGCTGGCTGTGCGCTAGATAATACAGGGCACTCCTGGCCCATTCTTGTGTTTTATATCCCTTTCTTTTTTTAAAACAAATTTTTAATCACTGGAAGGTCTGTCTTCAAAAAAGAATCATTATTGGTTTGGGGGCACAAATGGAAAAAAGCACGACTTTTAAATTTTTTAAATTTAAACTAAAGTCAGCATTTTCCTTTTGTTTTACAAAGTGCATGCCCATGACTCAGAAGAGGAAAGCAAGCAGAGTAAAAGGAAGGAAGAAGTCGCTGGTGCAGTGCAGGGCTAGGCTGAGGTGTGGATGGAGAGCTCTCAGGGAAGAGGCCCGCCTTCTTTCCCTAGGAAGGAAAAGCGGGCTCCAGCCTCAGAGCCGTGGAACAGCATGGCCTGCGTGGACTTGGAGAGTCTGCCAAGTAGGTTTCTAAGTGGAATGCTTGGTCCCTCCCAAAGTCGCCTCCTTAGGTGATGTAGTTGGTGCAGACTGGGAAGGTCACAGGCCTAAGAGGGAAAGCACCAGATGGACGGACGGACTGACCGCTGGCCCATAGACAGCCGCTCTGCTGACAGGCTCAGCCTACACACACGTCACACCTGCCGTGGACTTGACCTTAAGGCTCTGTGGTTGTGTGTCATCAGTGTGTGCCCCCCCCCCCCCCCCCCCCCCCCCCGCCCCCCCAGTGGTGTTCCAGCAGCCAGGACGACAGCACAGACAGGCGTGGAGTCCCAGGTGATCCCTGCTCTGCTACAGCCTGAGCACGTCACCTCATCCATAAGGTGGAATTGCTAGATGAGATCTGTGCTTCTCACATTAAGGTCCATAGTCCTTGGGACCTGGGGGAAGGTTCTGAGACGTGGCTAATGATGTGTTCCCACAGGATCACACCTTGTATGAAATGGATACTGCCATGGGGACCCAGGGGCTACTCATGTCTCTGCCATGTGGCCCTAGTGCTCCTAAAGTGACCATGTGGACTGTTCCAGCAGGCCTTGAAGGGTGGACACTGTGCACCTGCAGGCACATTAGAGTCCTTCAGTATGAGGAAGTGCGGGATTGGTAGTACAGATAGTGTTTTGTTGTGTTACGTTTTTCTTATTCCTGCCTCCATACCGAAACCGTAAGTCCAGGGACAAATCAGCAGTTGTGTGTCTTTTCAGACTTAGGTCTGTAGGCTAGTTAGTACCGCTCAGATGTTACCCAGAAAACCCAAGATGCTAATGTGGATGCTGAAAAAAATGTTGAGCACTCAGATGAGTTCCCCACGTCCTAGGAGCGGAGTGCTGTGGCAAACCTCAGCAAACCCATAATGCTGTGCAGGGTGCGGTGAATCTCCAGGCAGCGGCTGCAGAACGTGGTGTTTCCTGAGCCTCCCCTACTGTTCCCAGCTCCACAAAGTCGAGAACCTCAGCTCTCCCTGTCCTGGAGCCACCCAAAACCTGGGCATGTGTCTGAAGCCCAGTTGTGGGGTTTTAAATGAAGTGCTAGACCATTCTTTGCTTGTTGTGCTGTTAAGTGTTTTTCCTAGCCTAGATAATTCAGGAAAATTGTGCCACAGTCCCTCTAAGAATACTTTAATAATATCTGAGATTAGCCAACTTATTTACAAACCTGGTTAGAAAATATTTCTTTATTGTTTTGTTGAAAGATTTTTCTTTTTTTTTGTTATTTTATAAAAATATGTTATACTGAAACTGGACAGATGATTGGCATTGCATGAACTCCTCGGCAAACTTCTGACCTTGATTTATAAACCTCTTGGCTCACCTCAGATTGATCAGCAGCATTATCCACGTTGCAATGTTTCAGGAACAGAGCAGTTAGTTAGTACATTCTGTCTGTAATATTTATTCTCATACTTACTGTAGCCATTTAATGTATTTGCAAAAGTGAGATCGGAGTCATGCATATACAGCCATTTACTGGTCCTCATGGGTTTTAGGTCCTCAGATTAATTATGTTACTTAGAAACTTGAGGCATTTATCCATGAATTTGTTTGGTAAGAAATAGTTGTAAAACAGTGTTTAATCCTCAATGTTTAATGTAGAGATGGTAATGAGCTGAGATTCCTAACCAGAGTCACCTGGGGCACGTGGCCCTCACATCTCATAGCACCTCCTTTCTCACAGAGTGGTGTCCTTTGTGACTTTATCTTACTCGTTTGTAAGCAGTGTACTCATTGTACTGGTAGAATTTAATCTGCCTGAGTGTATTTACATAGAACCTCTCCACCTCCTCTTTCTCCATGGTCCTTTTGAAGATGTGTATTGCAAGTTGAACAGGACACATTCCCCACTGATGTCTCTTTTGACTCTGAGGTAGTCATCAGTCATCTGGACCCAAAGTAGGGCTCTTGGGGACTTGATAACTCTAGGAAACTCAGGATCTACTGAATTGTGTACTGTGACCAGCTTACTTGTCTTCACAGGGAAGATTAAGTGGAGCCCTTTGTTGTCTACACTGGGGTATAAATATCTGATTCTTTGGAATCCTTCTGTGTTTTGCTGGGCAGATATCACATGAATTAACTTTTCCTTCGAAAGACAGGTAACAGAAGTTTGGATAAGAGGCACAGGAGACTTTTCATCTGGCTGGTACCTGTGCTTTCCCTGCAGTTCTCTTGTGGTCTGCGTGGCCCGCAGCATTCCCCACTAACAGGAAAAGCCTAGAAGGAGGCAGCCTGCAGTCCCGGGAGGTCTCTCATGGTCCCTTGTCACCTAGAGGGGGTCTCTGCCTGTCTGCTGCACCTGTCAGAGGTCTCTGGGGGCTGATGTGGTCAGCCTGGTGATGCTTTAAAAATGCGTTTCTCTGCAGGACTGCATCTGAAGTTCAGTCTCCCTGGGATCTGGGTCACTGTGGAAGGGGTGGTAGCTGCAGCCCCTGCCTACCACTGTGAACAGGGCACCTTGCATGGGAAGACTGTCTTGGAATAGTCTAGACATTTCCTGGTGAATACTCAGCATGCCTGCTCATGTGGCTTGGACAGAATTCTCAGCACTGTGCTTGGTCTCAGTGCACAGAGAAGCCTCTCCTCTCAGGGGTGTCAGAAATGACTGACATGGAGCTCACACTGTATAATGCAGAATTGTGCGTGGCTGCTTACCCAGAGTGTGCTCTTCTGCCCTCAGCTTACTGAGGGTGGACACAGCGTCCTAGTTTGATCCAGTCTCTGCCCTTCTGGTCTGGCACGGGGCTTGTGCCTGGTGCCCTCTGATAGAGTGGGTTTTGCGGGTGCACAGAGGGCAGTCCAGGGAGACTTGCCTGAGGCCTTGGTCCCCTAGGCTGCAGTGTCTCTGAACTGCCATTGCCAAATGGCCAGCCCTGCTTGCCTGTCAGGGATGCTGGTCCCTCTTGGCAGCAACTGTGCATCTTGCCTCTGTATAGTACGGTGCTGGGGAAGCTATCTTTGCAATTCTGCCTTTAAAACACTTGTACCGCCCTCCGGTTTCCATGGTGACAGGGGTGCTCAACAGGTGTGCTTCTTGCAGCCTGACAGACTTTCAGGAAGACAGCAGCTTCAGAAACCCTGCCTCTCTCAGTCAGCTTGCCTCAGAGGGCAGGTGTACTTTTCCAAGAGAATGTCCCCGTCCCCTAGAACCACTGCAGGTGTTTGTGGTACATCGTACCTTCCTCCCATGTGTATTGGTGTAGTTTTCCAAAAATATGAGTGGTGCATGTTTCCACACTGTGTGATCTTTGAGAAAATCTTCTCTTTCTCACATCACGGGACGTGGTTCTCTTCCCTCACCTTTTGAAAAAGAGTACTTGGGCCTCAGAGTTGGTTTCTGAGTGCCTCCCTCGCCTCATTCATCTTGGGGCTGTCCCTTGTAGGCTCCTGTGCTTGTGTTGGTTGAATGGCATAAATGTTCCTCTGACATTATGAACACTTGTCTTTCTTTTATTTAGAACAGTTCCAGGGAATGGAGAATGAAGTTTTTATAAAATAACCAGATAATGAATTTTATTTTTTTCTAAATTATGTGCTGTCATATCTTTATTTTTAGAAGTTGCTATGGTGTTAAACTTTTTTAAATGGCCAGTTTTTATATTTATAAACACTTAGTATATATGCTGTATATGATCTTGTGTGTCTTTCTAGAATTTCTGCGACAATTTAATGACTTAAAATTTGGCTAAATATCTAGGGCAGTGTGGTCAGAACCTTTTAACTTACTTGCTATTGAAAATTTTTATGTTTAAAGATTCAGAAACAAAGTTGAATACATTACAGAAAGGTTGGTGTTTCCCTCTGCAATGCCGTGGGCATGAAGCACCTGCGCCGTGGACAGAGGTGGAGGGGAGTGTGGGGCGCCCTCCTTGTGGGGTTGAGGCATTCTTTGTGGGAGCGTGTAGAGGGTGTTGTAGTTGAGCCCCTTCTTAGGTCTGCCACGGCATTCACCTGAGGTTTTTTTTTTCCTTGAACAATCCTAGGTTCACGCAAAGGATCTGCTCCACAAGTCTTGCTTCCAGAAGAAGAGAAAATAATAGTTGAAGAAACTAAAAGTAACGGTCAGACAGTGATGGAGGAAAAGTAAGAGTCTCCAGTGTGTGCAGTGGGTAATGGAGTCAGAACTCCCCTGGGGCTGGGGCCCAGAACTTGACCATCAGACTTTCCTTGTGGGCTGGACTTAACCTCAGCAGAGATCAACTTGCTGAGCACAGAATGGGCTGGGTTGTTCAAGTTGTGAGACCAGATAGGCCGAGCCGAGCTGGGAGAGCCCTGTGGCTCCGTTGGCGCTCAGTGCTGCCCATTGACCTGCATGCTCTTCTGTTCC